GCCAATGTTGAGAGAGCTCCATGAGAAAAAAACTCAGTGACGGATCACAACTTAAACGAAAAGGCAAGCCAAGACTCCAGTCAATTGGCTTAACTGCCTAACTCGTGAGGAGAGGGGGCCTGAGAAGGTTGACGAGAAAAAAGAAGCACAGAAAGAGAAAACCCCCTCCAACAGGTCAGTCCGTGTGGCCCAAAGCTGCATCGTCTTCTCTAGGCGTTCCTTCAAAGACCTTTCCAGTGCCTTCATGGCCGCCAAGGAAGACATGGCGCACAAAGCCTGGCAGGGACTGTCCAAAAACTGACTCTGGCATGAATGTCCAACACACATGTGCAACATGAGAGCGGATGATATGCCCATTCGGCGTGTTTCTCTATGTTAATCGGAGGCGTTGCATCATTGTGGCATAAACGGACAGCCGGAGTCAGAGTGAGTGTAACTTGACCTGGCAACAGCAACTCCCGGTCGTCAGCCCCCCAGCCTGTACAGCTCTTGCCCTGACTCTCTCATCAGCATCTTGCACGCACCCCGAGAGGCGCTCGATCGAGCGAAAGCCTGGTAGGATCTCCAAAATGCCGAGAGCTGCTAGGCGTATCCTTAGGAATTCTGAACTCTGGACGATGACCTTGGACCTTGTTGTGAAGGCAGTAGCAGGGGCCGGTCAGCTTAAGCAGGGTCAGTCAGCTATCTTCAAATCTTCAGGATGGACCAATTGACCGGGGGCCTGGTAGCTCGACTTACGTTCGACATCTCAGCGCCCTTCTGCATCATGTCCTGCACACTGGAAGAAAGGATCACCGCCCGGACGTCGTTCCCATTCTCATTCTCCATCATTCTCCCTGGATCTGCTACGAGTCCTAGCACCCCACGGCCCAGGGCAACCGACCCCATGGCCCAGTCCCATTCGAGCCCAGCTGCTCCACTGGAGCAGCAGGCTCCGTGGCCTTCAATGCCAGCTCTACGGCCTCGGGGGGGGAAAGCACCGAAGGCAACGCCTCCAAGGCGTCCAGCTGCACCTCATGGCGTCCGGCGGAGCTGAGCGGAGGAGTCGAGGGACTAGCTAAGATCATCGGATGCATTGGTTCTAACGAAGCACGACATACTTCATCACCTACAAATATATGATGATCTTATATGACTCGCACCTTTTGTCCACCAAAAACCCGTTTGGTCACGTGGACATGCTTGCGCATGGCATGTCGACCTGCATAGACTTAGACGATCATAGACATAACGATGGTCAAGTGCTGCACCTCAATGGTCTCAGCCAAAGATTGCCTCAGCAGCTCCTTGGTCTCCACGAGCTCCCCACAGCTTCGGTACAATGCGCGCCGCGCGACCCGCAGCACGTCCAAAGGCCCGTTGGAACGGGCAAAGTGGAGGAAGATCTGCTGTTGGCGCTCCTTGGAACCTGGGAACGGACAATTTCGGTAGCTGGCTTGGGAGGGAGCAGAAACTGTTCGTTCAAAGGTGTTTATCATTAAGCATGGCTTTTGTAGGTGTCAAAATCATTTAAGATCTAAAATCCTAGCCGCTCGCATCCTTTATCACGAAAAAGCATTGGGGAGGATCACTGAAGTCCTTCCATATTCTCCGGGTAGTTCATTTTATATGGTTTGGGGTTCATGAATTCTACGGCCCTGCCATGTTCATGCGTAGCACGTGTCTTGGGTTTCCCCAGGCGTATCTGTAGCGAGTCAGCAAGTTGATTCGAGTAGCGAGTCAGCGGGCCTAGTAGAGTTGATGGCCTTTTGGCGCCCTTGGTCTTTGTGATGGTCTTCATACAATAATACCTACATCAGAGCCAATCCCTGTTTGGAAACAGCCTGAGGACTTAACTTGCGACTTACAACATTTCTGGCCGTCCTCCTTTCGAAAGCCAAGCGACCGAACTGGCTCAGTAAATCCAAATACCGGATTGTCTTGCTGATGCTTGGGCGATCCCCAAGCTCATCCAAAGAAACGAGGAGGTTGAGACACAGGACATTTCGATCATCCAATGGCAAGGAGCCGATGACCTGAGCCATTTCCGTCCGAAGCTTTTGTGCTTAACATGTCTCCCAACAAGCACCAAGCTGTCCGCGGGGATGTTGATAGTTTCTTTTTTCCGGCTCTTGATATTTGGCTTGCCGGCTTCTAGCAATGCAAGCAAGGATGTCAAGCGAGCAAATGTACTTGATCCATGGCTACATGCAGAGAAGCAGGGATAAACAGGGGGTAGTCGGGCAATTCCAGGCGTATGGCCAGCACACGTCTGAAAAAGATCCCAAGAACAACCAAATAAACACACACACACACACACCAAATGCACACGCACAAAGCAAGCAAAAAGACCTACTGTACTGTACTGTATATAAACAGGAACAAACAAAAAGCCACAACAAAAGAAGCAAGAATAGAATAAAACACAAAGAATGCATTCACAAAGAAAAATACACAAAAACGCAAACAAGACCGTAAGACACCAACAAGAACAGAGATATGGAATGGGACTCACCAGCACCAGCGCAAGTAGGGCGCCTGGCCTGACGATCTGCCAAGGGGTTGGATCCATCCAACAGCTGCAAGCAATCCACAGGGACCTTCTGAAGCTCATGGGCTTTACTTTTCAGCTCATGCACCTGGCTGAATCAAACGGACGAGTCTGCGGCGTTGTTCTCATACAAGAAGCGGCTTCCAGAGGAAGTCGCCGAGTTCGTGGCTGTTTGAAGGGGTACAATGATGATCCATGGTTCAGGTTCGTCAGCCTGATCTGGTCGGTGTTGACCACAAGATCCGGTGACTCTACTGGCTCTACTGAGGAAAGAATGAGCTCACTATTCACGATAGACCACAGGTTTGGAGGATATGTTTGGACCACTTGTCCTCTCACATCTCTCTCAGGAACATCTCTCTCTCTCAGCTCTTTCTTCGCAAGCAGTTTTGCACATGTAGGGATTGCCCACCAACAGTCAGCTTGAGATTTGAGCGATGAGTTTGGTCTTGGCAGGGGTGTGCCTCCCCATCCTTGTTAGGAGCATGCACCTCAAAGCTTGATTCCATACTGCCTGCATCTGCCTCCCATCTGCATTCCAAGCGATGTCGTGGATGGTCTCCCAGTCTACCATCCAGTCTACCCGACTCATCAAGGTCCATGAAAATGAAGACTTCCAAGTCTCAAGTGGTGACCCCGCCAGGTCGGGTGATCGCGAGAACGCTCTACGACCCCATCGACGAATTCCACGACCTCAGCCCACCCGAGCCGCACCGTGGCATCCGCGGGCACATCCACCCGAAGCTGCTCACCGCTCAGCAGCTGCAGCTCCACATGGAGCAGTGGGATTTCGATGCAGCTTGCCATGAGTTGTAGGACTTGTAGGATTGAAGTCTAGGATTCCAATGGATTTCATTAGGCCCCCTTCAAAGTAAATGAGTTCACCCTATGGTTGCCTGACATCCATTGTAGCCATGTCAACAACAAGTGTGTTTAACCTTTGACGTGTTTGTGGGCCAACACCGCAGTGAGACAACATCTGCGTGCTCACAGCATCGCTGGGCTCAGTTCAGCCGCTTCCAGGACCGGGTCCGGCGTGCCGACGCTCGGTGACAAGTCCTGGCTCTACAGGTCCCAGGTGATGTCGGGAAGGATCAATTGGACTGACGGTCCTGAGTTGATCTCTGAGTTACATTGTCCTGTGGACAACTGACAAGTGAGTGGATTATTTTCTTGAGTTACATCGTAGTTTGGACTGCATGTAAAAGCCCTATGACCATAAGCATCGAAGTGAAGAACCTACACATACACGGTACACGACTGGCGACTTGAAGCTGCAGCAAAGAGTGCACAACATGCTCTTTTTTGCCAAAAGTTCCACCAAAAGACAACAGTTCAATTTCAATAACATGTCTCAATGTGCCTTAAAGAGGTTCAATGCCTCAATACACATTGACATTCAATAGCTCATCTGGTGTTGTTTTTTCCACCTTAAAAAGATTTCTCACCTGCTCCACAGCCGGACAAAGTAGCTGACAATGATATCTTTAAATTTAAAGTGTCCTGGAGATGTCAAGAAAACACAACAAAAACCATATAAAACCCTTCTGGCGAGAAGGGTTTGATTCATCATCCGTTTACATATGTCGATTTTCAATGAATTATCTCCAACCAAAACCAAAACATGACGAATCAACCCCGGATCTGTCTCCCTGGGTGTCCGGACACCTTTCCAAAAGCGCCGCGGGACGAAGCGTCGTGGCGAAGCCAAAAGCACCTGGGCGGGTGCTCCCAGGTGCTGCCCGAAGTCTGGTCTGGCTGCGTGCTAAGCCCTCCCCGGAACAGTGGCGAGGTGGGAGGGAGGAGGTGGAACACCCTGGCTTTCAGACATGGTAACTGGTAGGTGACACGACTCAGAAGCATCCAAACAGGATGCTTCGTATGCTTCTTCCATCCTGATTCGACTCTTTGAGCGGGAGCAAGTCAAAGGTTTCCCAAGCTTCTTCCTGTTACAACTGTCCGTGCATGCGGAAACAGCTGACACGATTTCCACGAGCTACATCCTTGTGATCTCGTTGCATCTCCGGTGATATATACATGGGCGTGCACTAACAAAGCAGAACCTCCCAAAGCCCTTGGAACAAGCAAACATAGTCCCAAACCCATTGGTTGGGGAGCACCACTTGCGGACTGCTCAAAGCGAACACCTCCCAACATTTGCCCCTTACTGTCTGGTACGGTGGATCCTGGAAGAGTTGAACCTATCAAAAACATTCAAAAACACTGGTGAGTGGGCAATGAGGAAGAGTAAAGGGGTCGGTTTGATACCACTTGGTTGTACACTTGGGGTACGTATATCCCCTCTAGCCTAAGATCAACCAATCAATATAGTAAAAGGCCATCTATCGGGAGGGAGTTCTCCCTATTTCAATGCCGAGCTTTCTACAGCGAAGCGCACGTGATAAGATCGTGCCAAGATCGATCAGATTGCGAGATCGAGTTGTTTCGTCCTTTTTCCTCCACTTGTTTCGCCCGCACGTCAGTTCGATCTGCAGGACATCTCAGGATTCAGCTTGCTTCCTTGGATTGCGGATAGAGCTGGAAAATGCTGGAACAAACAAATTATATATAGTTTCAGTTTCAAGATGTTTCAAGCGATTCCAGTTCTTCCAGGACAACAACAAACATCTGTGCTTGTAGCCTGGAGGTGCCCTTCCAAAAAGGGAATAACTTAATTACTATAACATTACGTCTTTGTATTTCACAATGTATTTCTTCGGTGTTCGGATATTCGTAAGACCGAACAAACGAGAGGATGACCACTAATAACTGCTCCAACTGCTTTGGATCTTTTTCATCTCTGACCCCAGAACATCGGAATTCTCTGAGTCTCTCGCTCGCCCTCCTCCAGCCCAACCACACCCTCCACCCTCCGCCACCGCCGGCTTCCGAAACCGAGTCGCTGCCAACGCCTGAAGCGTCGCCTCGGTCGCCCTCTTCACCACCTTGGGCCACTCGGAGTCCGGGAGCATAGCGCCGGTGGAGAAGTCCACATGCTGCCTGGCGCACGGACGGGACCGGTGGAAGGATGACGGGCTCATAAGGATGACCAGCTGGGCGGTGGAAGAGGAAGACAGCCATGCTGGTGAAGTCATGAGCTGATGAATAGCTGATAATAGCTGATGTGACTGCTGATGTGCAGTGAACTCTGCATGGCTCAGCACTTCTCCATGAACCCTCGCAAAGGCTTAAACATACTTTATATGTATAATATTGTATATATGTGTTCCCGCCCGGTTTCAATTAGAAGATCACCTACATTCTATTAGAGCAAATTTATTCTAAGTCAGTGATCTCCACTAGTTATACTTGCTTTACTTAATTGTTGCTGTCCAAACAAGAAACTTACACTTCACCTCATACATGGAGGTAGAACTCAGCCTGCTTCCCCCTTTTCAGAGGCCTCCCTGCCCACAGACCTTAGCCGTCCGCTCCGTCCCCCGTCCCCGAACCTCAGCCAGTTGGCCCAATCGCCCGAACCTCCACGCAAGTCTTCCTCGGTTCGGGAGGTTCGTCAGACCGTCGTCCTGGTCATCTGTGACAGGTTGATTGAATTTCTTTGGGACAGTTATAAAATCTCAAAGTAGCCTGGACTGGCCGGCTACTTGTGGAACATGCTCCCGCACGCTGCAAGCACAGTGTGGCGCATTGCTCTCTCAATTTCTCATGCTTTCTCTTTCATAAGCGGCCGGCAAAACTGGGTGGGGAACTTGCAGGGAAAAGGGAAATCAAAGTTACTCATCTGCCAACACCTAGCTTCGCGCAACCACATCAATTGAAGACCGAGCCAATTCTGGCCAGTGCCATCATTGTTGTTGGACCACACCTTCGTTGAATCCCCGTCCACCCAACAAAAAATGCACTCTCCACACATGAACAACACCTCCAAAGCACAAGTGGTTCCAGGCAGGGCGTCTTTCAGGGCTCCAGTGTTCCAACATCTTTGCTGGAAGAAGTCGTTTTGAGAAAGAGAACACTGGCGAACATCCGCTGAAAAAAAGAAAACAAGTGTTCATCCCCCCCATAGCAGGGGTCGGACCACACTGCCTTTCAGGGGCCTGGACCCTCAAATCCCTTTCCAATTTGAGGGGCCCGGATTCTTAAAGTCTTAGGGATGAATAAAAGGTGTACATGCATGCACCATCCACTTGGTCACCAATGGACTTTGACTACAGTACTAATTAAACTAGATCTCCATTGGCAATCCCAAACAGGATGGTCCATGTGCTTTGGAAGCCAAAAACTGTATCACGCCCATGCTTGGGATTGTGCTCCAAGAGAAAGGCGTTCTCGGTGGCCAGCAGCATCTGGCGCAACTCTTCATCTTGGAACTTTTGCTGAAGAACATGACCTTGCCGAAGCCAAAAGTAAAGGACAGCAAACGCAAAACAATATGCACCTCTCCCCCTCTCTGTATATAATATGTGCATCTGTCTGGAGTCCAGCCAAGCTCGTTTGATTTCTGCATGACACATCTGTGAGGAAATCAAACATGGTGTAATTCCCACTTGATGGAATTGATTCACTATGGAAAAAATGATCTCACGGTCACGGTCACGGTCACTTCTCCCGACAGAAACATAGATCAACTTGGTCCAAGCAGCGCATTCCTGCCCAATTAGAGCCATAGCCCGCGTAGGTCCAGTCACATTGGTTTTCTCCTTGTGACTTCCGATTCAATTTATAGGCTTCCTCGCGAACGCCACGGATGGGCTGGAGAAGGGGACGACGGTGAGGAAAGGAACGAACGTTGGAACTCCGCCGGGCCGAAGCCAAGAGGGGTCGGTCTATCCCGTTTGGGCTCCTGGCCCATATCCTCAGGTGAAGGACCCCAACCATCTTCTCAGGAGGTGATTGGAGCCCTAGAGTATATGGATGTGAAGAGCGAACAGTATCTCTTCTCATGAGCATTTGGGACCTCAGAAACCGTTGACCCTTCCTCAGGGAACCATCACCTTTAAGATCCTCTATGACATGAGTGTTGCGAGATGTGTCATTCCCTTTTACGACATGACACACGTCCGGTTCGCCGAACAAACCCAATGCTTGACACGCCACACCACGGACACCAATTGGGATGTGGGTGGCTACAACGTTTCAAGCTTCCTTAGGCATGGCACGTCTAAGTCAACCGAATTATCGAAGAATCGAAGGGAAGCTTCAAGCTCCTTGAAGAATGCCCCCGACTTCCTTAGGCATGGCCTGTCATGTCGTTTCAAGCTTCCCTTATAGAATCGAAGAATCCCCCCCGACTCATGACATCGATCTTCAGCAGGATTTGCGACCAGGGGCACCAGTGGGGGACCAGGAAAACATGGTAGTTCCCCAGAAAGGGATGTACCCGTTCCAGTTCGGGAACATGGTAAATGATAGAATTCGCCCTTATAAGCACAGTCAGGAGTCTGCATCTCACCCACTAAGCCTAACCTATACCTTTCCTTTAGAGAAGCAGAAGCCACTGTGCGCTTTTTTGAGGACCGCAGGGACCAGCAAAACGAGTCATTCGTTGACCAGCATGGAACTCGAATCCCCCATGGATCGTTACAAAGGGTGTCCAATGCATGCGCATCTATTGCCATTTCATTTAAAAGGGATTCACTGGCAATAAAACAAATCTATAGTGCCCGAATACTTCAAATATTATTTCAATCGTTTCCAATGCAAAGAACTAAGTACGATGTATATTCCTTCTACCATTGCGATTCCTCGGATGAACCATCGCGTAGGACGGACACGCGGCTCCAAAGCTGTGACTCTTCATAGGGAGTGGCCACACCAAAACAGCTCGACCATGCTCGACCAGTCCTCGGCAGAGGCTTTCTGGAAGAGCTCCTTCTTGTCCCAGTGCTTCAAGCATTGGAAAGCTGCCTGGTTTCGCTCGGCTCGCTCCGAGGATGGAGACTCACATGATGGTCATGAGAAACGGTTAACGCCACAGGTCCTGGAGTTGGCATACTATAGCATTAATCATCATTAATCCGTTGGCTTAACGACTGTCGGTGAACTTCCATCTAAATCAAGTGTGACTGTTTTTCTTTACATGTTTGCAACCACCCTAAGACCCTAAGAATCCGGGCCCTCAAATGGAAGATGATAATGATTATTATAAAAATATGTGGCCGCCGCTGGTGTTCTGCTGCCTCTCATGAAAATTCTAAACACCACGTATTCCGTGAGCTACAATGCACAAAGCTCTCCAAACTCTTCAAAGGCAAAGTTCTTTCAAGAAACACAGTGCAAAGCTCTGGAACACAAGCTGCACCATTCTCAAAACAGTTGCTGTGGCAGGTTGCTGGATTCTCGCAGTCATTTACAACCCTCCCAGCCCGCCGTAAACGCGCCCTCTGGCGCGCGCGAAGCACCTCGGCATTCTCAAAGGACACCATCTCAGGCTTTGCAGCATGTCGGATCTCCAAGGGTCTTGCATAAAAGTTCCCCAGGAATGCGGCCTGAGGGATTTGTTCGCCCGACCTGTACAGAACATCAATACGAAAAGCACCAAATCCAAATCCTACCAGGCAGTTCAAACGGCTTTGGATGGGGATGAGGTTCACTTTTGGGCTTGTGAAACAGCATGACCTTGTCACACTCCAGGCCTGACAAACCTCATCTGCAGGTGTGTTATAGCCTGGGTAATAGAAGGCCAGCAGCCCCTCACCCACGGGGCTTTGAAACTCCATGGGCCGACTCTTTGTTCCCCACCCGAAGAGCTCGGACAAGCTGGGGAGTTGAAAGTTCCGGCAACACACCATGGCTGTCTTGGCTCTGCCGCCGCCGGAAACCGTCGGGTCTTCGCCCCCCACAGTCTGCCGGAAAGAAGAAGCGTCCAAGGCCCTGCGGCTGGGACAAGCTTCGTCCAAGCCCCTGGGCTGAGCAGCTGCACATTGGCAGCTCAACGCCTCCCTGACAGGCCTGTCTCGAGCCAAAAGATGGTACGGAGCCGAGCAGCTGCTTCACATGGGGCCGCACGACATGTTTTTGGAGCCTGTAATTCTGTAGAATCTTGATTCATAACCCCCACCCATGTCGATTGCAAAACCATGTGTAAAACCTCTTTGTTGATTTTAAAAATCAGCAGTCTACATACATTACAGATTCCAGAAGCGATGCAAGGCCAAAGCGGACAAAAGCAAATTCTCTATGAGTATGGGCTACGTCATATACCCCAGAAACAATCTTGTGTCTGAGGCCACATCCTTGAAGCAAAACTGGAGCCCTGCGCCAGCAAACGAAACGGACCTCCTCATCGCCCGTCTCACCGCTGAGATCCTGACTGCACACCCCGACCCACGTGCTCATCCACCTTGGTGGGCACTCAAGGTGGATGCTCAGGGTGCTGGCCAGCTGGAACTCAAAATCCATGCCAATTACCGGGGAACATGAAAAGCTCCCATGGTCTTGCTGATGATCTTCTTCTTTTTCTTCTCCTTCTTCTGTATTCATCTGTATTCTTCTTCTTCTTCTCCTTCCTCTGTATTATTATCCTTCTTCTATTGCAAGATCCGTCCACAAGTCTGGAGTGAATCGGCAAGGGGATGTGAACAAAGCACACACATTCTTTTTTGCAGGCCTGGCAGGCCTGGCAGGGTCGAGTCGTTTCCTCCTTATCGACTGCCCCGTTGCACCTCTTGAAGAACGAAACGGTGTTCATGTAGTTTGGGGTACGGCGTACGCAGTGACCAAGTCACTCCGGCAGGCCAGTGCACTGATGAATATAGTTGCAAATGGTTCAAGAAGCTTTGACTTCCTCCGTTTCCCTGGAAGAGTGAGCTTTAACCATGGTTAAACCTTCTTCTAGTCCCCGATCCGTACTAGAAAGGTGCGGATCGGGTGATCGACTTGTCCAGGCTATGCCCTGCAGAAACGTCGCTCCACAAAGCGGAGAAGAGCCTTCGGTCGTACATTAGAGCTTTTAGTATGGTATAGCATATGTATATAATTGTATAATATATATATATATATATACAAACCAGAATGATTCCATACCAACTACTTACTAAAGCTACGACTAAAGCTTATATAGATGCTTGTGGTATGGAAGCATTATGCTTCCAGCAATCTCCTTGACACTCACTCTTGTTGTCCCCTTCCCCCCATCCAACAGGGCTGCCAAGCTCGCTTGCAGGCCTTTCCACGCGTCACGGGGCTTCCGGTGTCTTCCAATAATGCATTCATGACCTTTCTTGAATCAACACATCTTCAATTGATCTAGACCTAGGACCCGAGTGACCTCTACTTGGGACGGCCAACCAGCCACAAGATTGCCCTTTCCGATCAAAACAGGGGTCATGTCTGGGTTCGAGGGATGTCTAATATTTAGTCCAAATCTCTTAGGGTGATTGCGAAAGAATCGATTATAAGTTATACACAGTGGTTTCAGTCCAATGAGATTATGTGGAAAGGGCCTTTTTGGTGGTTCGAGGAGCCAACCCGTCCCCAACCCTTGATGCTCCGAGTGGTCGAACCTACAGTAAATTGGAATTCCTCGGAAAAGCACACAGAAACGCACTCGTGGAACTCGACCCCCAAAGAACTAGGATATATTGGAATAACTCTCCTCCTCGGAGGCACTGCACCTGCGGCACCTGCTTCGCAGTCCCTTCAGCCCACGATCGAACCTCACGGAAGTTCCTCAAGGCGCGCCGCGTCTGGTCGTCCTGTGAGGGTTGGGCGCCGCGGCGAGACCATCGCCGCGCGCTGGGAGATAGCGACTCTGCGGTTCCGAAGAGCCTCCAATTCAATCCAATTCAGTTCATCCATGTGCATCATGAGCTATCAAGAGTGAGAAAAAATCTCGAAAAGGTGCTCTGTTGGGAGATGGTGTGAAGGAGTTGATGGTCTAGACCACCTCTTCTACCCAGCACGCACTAGTTAGTGTAACTAGTTTGTCAAGGGTGCATGTTGAAGGCCCACAAATCCCAAGCTAAGATAGGGCGATGCAGCAATGCAGCATAACCCTCACAACGATGCAGCGAAACATGGCTCTGTGACGTTTGTCTCTTCGCTTGGGATTTCCAAATTGCACCCCCCAAAAAAGAGATCTAAAACGTCAATTTTCAAGTTGCCCCCGAATAATATGTCCAAATGGTCCAAAACTATCATTCAGTCACACAAAAAGGCCATGTGCTTCGTATACGGAAGCTTTTGGCCAGCAAGCCGAACAAAGTGGCCAGTCTCCTCCACTCCGAAGGACTCCATGATACAACTCAGTTCGGGACTCTCTCTCTGGCTGGATTCCCTGTCTTCAAACAATCCAGGGATGTGTTTTTCCTCCCCCCCGGATACCTGTTAATCTTCCAGCTCCAATCACTGCCACGCTCCTTGCCCAGCGCATCTGGAGGTACCACGAAGATCGCCGCCCAGGCCTCAGCTGCGATGGGTGGCCTCACTCGACCTAAAGCGGTGCTCTCTAGCCCTTCCAAGCAGGCGAGCAAGCCTGAACACCTCAAAGCTTCAATGAACAACTGAACTAGAAGAACAAAGCTACGGAGCCAGTGTTCAGAACCCTCAAAACCACCACCCCAGGGCGCCCCCAACGCCATGACGCCATGTCCAGCCTGCTGTGCATGGCATCCTCATCTCCCACAGCCCCACCACCCCTGTGGTTTAGTCCCCCACGCACGCGGGCGCCGCCCAGTTGGAGCATCGCTCCCGGAAGGACTCGCGGTGCAGCTCAGGGAGGAACCTCGCAGCTCTGGCGGTCGGATGGGAAGTGTGAGGATTTGTGAGAATGACATGCTTAGACATGCTTCTTCATGGTTCTTCTCAAACGCAATCACATACTATATACACAAACATGATGTAGGACATGGCATGCAATACAATGATGCAAACCAATCAAGAACAACCAGTCTTGGATAGCCTGGCCTCGCTGTTCACAGCCTTTGGTGTAACTGTTACAGTAGCTTGCGATGTTTGCATGCTCTTCTAAAAACGGTCAGTCAAATCAGTCAATAGACTGCAAGATCCTTGGATCATCTTGGATCCTTGAAATTCGCTTGGCCTGGCTTCCCTGAGCTGCTCCTTGAAGCCGGAGAAGCCTCAATTGGAAGGCATATTGGCACCGGTGGACTGTGCTGCCACGGTTCCTAACTAATATTCAAACACAGGTCTGCAGTGAGAAATAGTGATGAGTGTGCCCAAAATTCCTGTTGAGTGTATTCATTGAGTCTCAAAGCAGGTGAGCCTGGACCTGGACCATCAGCAATGCTGCCCCATTTTTTGAAAGATGATTTAAGCAATGTTTGGAACTACACTTCCAGACCAACAAAAACATCTTGGTTGATGTTGGAAATGGTTCGTTCACTTTTGACATGATCCCCACGGAGTTTGTCATGGGAACTACTATTGGACACACATCCAGCCATTGCTTGGAAACTGGCCAGCGACCCATTGACAGGTTTATGTTTTTGTTCAGCACCTTTGCTGGTTTTGATATCTTGATGCACCAAAAAGTATCCGCAGAATTTGCAGCATCTGATGGTTTTGATATCGTGCTGCACCACAACCATCTTTCTGTAACCCGCCTAAAAAAAGGGACTCCTGCCCAGCAGCTTCGCAGGAGTTGCGGCTGGGTATGGTAGCCCTGACGCCATCGGTCGACAGCCCCGGATCCGTTTTCGGATTCAGCTCCAATTCGGCTCTCTGGGATAGCAAACGTGAGTGCAACCACAGGTTGTGGGCTGGAAAGACAATGAAAAAACAACTCATGCAACACATATACAATATCTCCCTTCTGAAGACACCCTTGCGTTTTCACACTGGGAGTGGTACGCCGAAACTCCCTTGAAGCCTTTGACCTTCCATGATACCCGTTGAGAAGAGTATTTGTTTCTATTTCAAGGCTCCAGCAATACACGACACTATAGATCCAAGTCTACTGACACAGCTTTGAAATTCTTTGTCCATCTTGGATGTGTTCACCAGGAAAAGCTGTCACAAAAACAAGCTGGAACATGCTGCTCCCCTTGGCTCCACCTCCTCAGAAGGTAGGGACTGACCCCTCACACCCACTCCAACCACCGGTAGTTCGAGCCCTGGACACTGTATAGCAACACTATGACTGTAAGGTGGATAACCTGCTATAGGCTATCTATAGCTAGCATGGGTAAACCATGGTAAACCAAGTTTTCAGGCAGGGTTCTGCACAGCTGTACACCGTCGGTTGATGCCAAAGTAATCTCACCATGCTTGAAAAGCATGTCAAACGAACCCGTACCTGCTGAAACAAGTGCTTTGGAGAGATGTTTGGAGAATGGCTGAGATGAACATCGGTGGAATCCAACATGATTACATGAGTCGAACACCTTCACACGCCGTTTGAGTACCAAACCTGCACACCGTCCTCCACAGAAACAAATGCAAGTTTGACCATTGGAACTTTCGAAATGGATGATCCAGCAAACTCGATCAGTCCCCAAAGCAGTCCATGGGCCTGGAAGAGCTCCCATTCAATGAACCACACATTCACACCCTTCACGAACCCTTCAATCACAAGTAACTCGTACCCAAATCCCACCGACGTGCTTCGCTTGCGGTGCGGACGCGCTGAAAGCACACGAAACCCGGTGTTTCCCACAGCGCCTGGCGCGTGGCAGGGTCCACCACAATAAAGGAGGGGACCTGCCGAACCTGCGGCGCGTTTCGGCCCGCCCAGGCCCCGGGAAGCGAGGCCTAGGAAGATGTGAGTATGTATAGGGTCTATTTAATACCTGTAACAGTGGATGATGATGGCCAGTATATATATATATATTATATATGTGTGTGTGTAAATGAACTCCCAACAATCCGAACTTCAATGACGGTGTCAAAGAAGGTTGAAACAAATCTGGATGCCAAGCGTGCTGCACTGGGGAAGTGATCCGCAATTTCATCGATGTCAGCCAATGCGTGCAATCCCGTCCCCGTACCAAACAACACCCCCCAAAGAAGAGGTGGAACATAAACACACTCAGAGTGTGGGTGTTAAATCTTTGTTACATACCAAAGCTCCAACTCCGCCAAAACCAACGTCCCAGCGACTCGACTGGGGATCTTACTCATGGTCACCCGGCTCCGACCGGGCCGACCGACCCCGACCCTGCCCGGACGGGACTCGCGCCCGCCAACCCCTGCCGGTCGCGCCTTGAAGCGATCGGTGGCCCAACGACTGGCGCCCACCTGTGCGAAGTGATGCCTCGAAGCGAGCCAAGCGAGGGTCGTGTGGTCTTCCCGAGCTCGTTGCGAAAAAATAGGGGGCAACATATTATGGGCCAAAAATGGATTTTCTTGGGGGAGGCCGCAGTTGAGAGATCCTGGCCTCATAAGGACTTCTTGTTGTTTCACTTTAATAGTTGATTCCCTGATCTCGGATCTTCCAACTGTACCCCAAATTCTGCCTTGGGGCTGGTTTCATGGAGGGGACAACAGAAGATCGCAATTCTGCAGAGTTGGACGATTCAGCTTTTGGACTACATTCTATCATATTCTTGAAATACTATGTTAAAATCAGAAATTGTCGGATCTTATCCGCTTTGAATCCAAAAAATGACTGAATTAAGCCGCATATTAAGCAGCCAAATGTTTTTGCCAATCCATGAGTTTGTTGCTTGTCTTCCGGCCCTCCCTTTTCAATCCAAATGCTATAATCATTACCCCGCCTGCAGACTAACGTGGATCTTGACAAGCAAAATAACGTGTAAGACAGTAAGACAGTAAGACATTGTAAGACTCTCATCATCTCTCATCTACTACCCAGTAGTTCTCAGGGTCCATCTGGTCCTGGGCAGAACAAGAAAAAATGACAAAGCCATGTCCATCTGCGATGTGTTCAGTGCTTTGGCGCCCCGGACGTCTTGAACTCCCCAGCGGCCGAAAACACCTGGACCGGTCACTCCAGTGATGACAGCTGCGAAGAACAAGGCTTTCGTTATCTTTCGTTCGAAGTGCCCTGGTCGACCCCATGCTCGCAAAGGAACAGCTTCGAACTGAACTTGCCTGAAGAACATGACCAATGGGCCTGATGTTCCATTCAGGCCCGTTCAAAAGCGGCTCGAGAAGCGAAGTTGCCATGGATTCCTTTTCCAAAGGAGTCTGAGAAAGACGTTCGGACCAGGAGTCGGAGTTGGGTGGTGTTTCGTCCCCTCCAGTGAGTGGATCATGGGGACCCCTATCCTATCCGTTTGGAACCGGCACCCCGAGCTGGACTCCGATGTTTCGTTCGCTTGATCTGGGAGTGAGGAGTGGTAAGGAGCAAGAGACAGACCGAAGCCCAAGAAGCTGCCTTCAAACAAACCTGTTGCAATCCTTTTGCCACAAACATGGAATCCAATCATGGCCCAAATATGGCCCAAATGAGTAATTATATACTGTTCCACAGGTTAGGCTGCTTGTACGGTTGTCTCTCTCCCTGTCTGCAATTTTTCTCACCGAACAGGAACTTGATTTGCTTTGTTTAAGCACTCACCAGGCCTTTCTTGTGAGTAATTAAGTGTTCCCCCTCAGTTGCTTGTTTTCCCCCATTCTGTCACACGTACTTGCCTGGCGCAACTGAGTACATTTCAGATTTCTGTGGCTCAAACCCTTACCTGGCCTTACCCCTCAACCCCCAGCAAAACCATGCCTGCATCATCCGTATCCTGCCACGATTTGGCGGTCAAATGCTCGCCCCCAACGGAGCTCTAATACATTCTAATACCAACAAGTGGCCCTCAGAAGCTTGCTGCTCATGCTCCTTCAGAGGGTTCCAAATTGATCTGCTCAACTCTGGGGATGGAATCGTCCGTGCGGAGGACTTCCCGGCTTTCCCCAAACAACATATCTGCCGAGCTGTGAATGCCCTAGTGGGACAGGCAGCACCCAAAAGCACAGCCAGCCACATATATCACTGCACCATGGCCGCAGCGTTTTTCCAAGTCCAATCCAGGCTCAACAAGAGAGCTTGGGGTTATGACAAATGTCTTGGATCTTTTCAACTTCAGTACTCCAATACCATGCAAAAACCATCAACATGGATTCTTTGAACCCATTTTTGTGTTCCTCCACTATTCGCCTGGGCCTCAGTCTGAGGAAAAAAAACTGCCAACTGCCATATGTTCTTTTTTGGCCAAGCAATAACTGGAAGAACACATTAGCCAATTCACCTGTGGAAAGCCAGCCAAGATCTTGTCAGCGTTCCATTACTTATCCACAGGCAAACCGAGCGAAGAAATGGATCCGTGTCGCCTCCCAAAGTGTTCCTGTAACAGTTCCGTCGTAAAAAACGACGATAGGGCCAACTGCACCCCCCCATCCACACATCGCTCGCGCCCGTCAGGACCCACGTGCCACGCCTGGCATCGCTCAGGACCAGGATGACGCGGGGCCTGGGAGGACCAAGTTCCCGCAGCAGGCGACGGGCCAAAAGCAAAGCCAGAAGGCAAACAAACCTGGCAGCTTTCCCAAATAAGAGCTTCAATGAATCCATAACTATCCATAAGAAATCATAAGAATACATGGGGGTTGGCCTCCTACAACGACGTGAGTTTGGTGGACTGCTAGCTCGCGTCCAACACCTGTCTTCTCCCCCAATGTCAAATGCTGTGGCCAAATGTGGAACCTAGCAGGTCTGTGCAAAAAGGAGGACCGGATTCAGGATGGCACTGGGGGTTTTGAGCGGGAAGATCTGTGCAAATCTCGATATACATAATCAAAATGAATCAAACATTGAAATTTTGCATGAAATTATCACAACAGTATTAAATAGTACATACTCTTCCAGCAAGTGAGACAATAATGAGCCCTTCAAGGTGCTGTTCTTGCATAGTTGGAATATCCTTTCAATTGATGACGTCCCAAGTTCAAAGGTAAGGTCCGAAGTTAAGGAACAAATTTTGACAGTGACAGTGACAGTGGTGTATCCCTACAGATTGGTTCATGACCAGGAAACATCCACTTGGATGGGTCGAGCCAAACCACCCCGACCTCGATATGTTTCTCCCTTTTTAGAGCCACACATGTGCCACATGACATGCAGTTTTTCTCAAGGGCCCTACCATAGGAGGGGTGAGGGGTAGGGGAGCCCAATAGTATCAAATGCATCTGATGCCAAGCCCGTTTCGGTCCCCTGGGCTCCGAAGGGCTTAGAGGAACCTTCGGGATGCAACCGGAGAAAGGCGTCCAATGCAGCCTGCAGGTGACAGCTCACAGGTGCTTCGGGAGCCCAAGGAGTTTCACTTCTTTAGGCCCCACACCAACAGCCTCAGGTGCTTATACTGCAGAAGCATCAAAAAGCATGAACAAACCAGATTTGGGGAGGACCAACAAGTTCATCTGGTAGTTAGGAGCTTGACCTTCCCACAATACATCACTCCCCTCTAACATCCTCTAACTGCTCTAAATTACTTCGGCTGAAAGATGTGAACCTGTGGATCAAGGCTCTGGTTGGATCTGTTGGAGCAACTGCTGCTGTCACTTCCCTCATTTGGAGCTGTGCCCGGACTATGGGCGTCTCAGGGAGTGGGTAGCTTGGTGAGGCAGCATTGGGTGGCGGAGCGGTGGGTTTCATAGTGAGACCGTGTGAAGAATTGATACCAGGAGATGGACGGAATGCCTGTTAGGACTGTGGATGTGGTAGACTCATCTTTGCTTCCGGAATGGCTTTCTAGATCGTCTCCCCAACATGAACCTTCCAAGAGCCTCTTGGCAAAAAATAAACATGTTCATATAACGTCATATATATATATAACTACACAACTATGTTATAGATACTATATGTATTACATATCATAGCATATATATACATTATATATATTAATATTTATATTGTGTATATATTACAGGTGATGAGCTTGTCGTTGGAGAAAACAACGACCCCACCAACCGAAGAAGACCACCTCGCCGAGCGCATTAGTTGAGCGCCTCTGACTGGATGAGGGTGACCCGATCGCTGTAGGACACCGTTTCGAGCACTACCTGCAGAGGTGGACCCTAAAGGGAGGTCTAGAGGGTAGGAACTTTGGGACATTTGGAGGAATCAACTTCCTGAAAAAGGATCTGGGATGATCTGGACTTCAAAAGGCTGCGATCTGGAAGTGGCACAAAAGGAGGGGGGTTGGCTGTCGACCTTTTGCCTCTCGTTGAGATTTTTGAGGGGTTGACTTGAACTGGTAGACACCTCTTACACTCATCTGGGACCCTCCTTCATGAAAGCCCTCCTTCATTCACAACTAGATGCACAACACGCTTGGGACCTTACATGAAACCACACATCGCTGGTCACTTGACTTTTTGAAGCAAGGCTCGCCAGGGAAGCGAACAGTTCGAGCCTCTTGGAGGCACACAGGACACTCAGCTAGCCACTCAAACCTTCTTGTCCATAGCATCAGCTGGCTTTTCCGCATCCATGAGGGGTTTCTTCTCTGGGTCTTGCGCCTTCAGAAGCCCTGAAAGCGATTTCCACGACAGGGCGGCGAAGATGATCACCAAACCCAGGATCTGAAGCCCCGTGACGGGGTTGTGATATTTCACGTAGGACACCAGGATGGACACCACTTGGCGCACATTCATGGTGGCTGCGAAGACCAAGGCGCCGAATTCCTTCACTTGGGAGTAGATGCACCACTGGCTGGCCACAGCGGAGCCGCTCAGCAGGGCGCTGTCCAACAGGAACTTGGGATGTGCCTGGGCACTGGATGGCTTACGAGATCACCATGTTTGAAACATGTGTTGACTATATAACGTGGACTAAACACTACCGTGGTTGGCTACCCGCCGAAGCTTTTCTTGTGCTTCGAACTTGCAATTATCTTGACATGACCCAAAGAGCAAATCACAGCCGAGGGTCCAGACCAAAGCCAATGGCAGGCACCAAATCGCCCGTCGCCAGCAAAGTCACAGTCGAGACCGTCGCTGACAAGCTGTTGATGTATACCATCTGGTTGTACTTCGTGGTCTGGTGTTCCTTGAAGAGCTTTTCTTGGAAGGTGGATGTCAATCCATCGAGCGCTAAAAAGCCACCCAAGAGCACAAAGCCCCACCTCGGCTCTCCGAAAATAGCTCTGGGAACCCCAAGAAGCTTCTTGGAATGCCAGTTCTAGCTTCATGAAAAGGTCCGCCATGGTCAAAAAGACTTGCAATATGCAGAAAAAGAACCGCTTGCACGTGGGACATGTCACCTCCAAGCTACATGCTGTTTCCAGAGTCCACCTTGGAATTCGTCGGTCCGGTCATCAAGAACTCTGTACATCCCAGTGTGACTGCCAGGGCTACACCCCAGTCACGCAAGCCATAGGATTTTCCTGAAATGATCATGCCCCAGATCATCACTGGCATCATCTTAAAGCTCTTGCCCAGCATCTGCACTGCAAACGACACGTACTTCAAAGCCTCATATTGGCAGGTACTTGCATAGACGTTGGACAACGACACGATCAAGTACTTCCAGAGTGGTGCCTGGTTGGTCAACTGCTCGCCTTTGGACACTGCCATGACCAGGCCGAAGACCACCGCTGCCAAGCGATTGCACAGCACCAAGAAGACGGAATACTGGAAGAGGGCACCATCATAGGGCACTGTCATGATTCCTTCTTGAAAGATTCCATAGAGAACCAAAAAGAAGATGATGCCAACTCCATAGATGACACACCAGGCGGGATGAGTCTGGGTCTGTGCGCTCTCCATGGCTCCGGTTTTTATGAAGTCGAGACGAGTCGACGGGTTAGTTAACGAGTAAGGAGGACGTGATTGGACGAAAGCGCTGGAGCAGTGCAGCAGTTCAGTCAGCCGGAGAGATCTGCCTTCCACTTTTGTGTGCAATGCCAAGGACAAGGAAGTCTCCCATAAATCTAAACATGAGGCATGTCTCAAACATCAGAATCTCCCCCCCCACAAAAAGAACTGCAAGTCTAGTGGGTTGCCCGGGTTCCGAATTCATCGTTGCAAGTTTACCCGTGTTTTCGTCGTCTCGTACAAAACCTGGCATGGCACGGCATTCTCAACATCATGAAACCAACCAGGGTAGCGCTCGTAGCACAAATATATGTTCTTTCCATCCAAAAACGGGGAGTGATCGCATGTTTCAAAACGTTCGACATCTTATGATTGTGTGAGTGACCTGGTCTGCTTGAAACGGCCGCACCTGCCGCACAGAGTCACCGAAATGAAAGAAATCCTCAGTCGGGCTTGCAGCTCCGCAGGGGATGGTGCACAAGCTGCGCTGAATTGCCAAACGAACTTGACCGCAGCCTAGTTCTACAAGCCTGCTAAGAACAGCACTACCTTTGTTTCAGTCATAGATGGGCCCAATCTATGCCAATCTCACTCTGGCATTCTCTCTCTCCCCCTCCTCTTGCAATTTTGGAACACCTGAGTCACCTGAGAACTTAAAAGGAAGGTTGACCTTTTCCGCGGTTGCCACAAATGTGCCGGAAAAACGATCAAACATAGGCAACTGCGAAAGTGTCATGTGTGTGTGTGCGTGCGAACAGTTGCCAAGTCCGAGATATTCCCATCCCATGGATTCCGACAAATGGTATGAAGCTGCTGATCTGAACTACCATGCCCCCCCAAAATATAGTATAATATATGACCTGCCTAGGGATTCCCAAAACGATGATGGAACACTTGGGTCATTTGAGATGTCATTTGGGAACCTCACCTCCGGCGTCCAAACCTACTCCACGCGCCGAGATCGTGACGCTGCAGCGGCTGAGGGAGTCCCATACTGAGCTCAGCTGCGAAGCCATGCGGGAAGTAGACTTGGTGTGGCCGGCCTGGCGGACGAAGCCGCAGAAGTCGCCTGAGGTCATCTAATCCATCTGTACTTCACGAGTGGGGCAAAAAGGCACGAGTCTGCTTAAGAAAGAAGCCATGGCAATAACCCTATGCAGCTAATAGATGTACCAAAGCTAACTTCGTCACTACTTGGCCCACGAACAATTTTAGGTGCACAGTATGCTCACAAATCTGGGCATGTCAATTGCAAGTGGCAAAACTCTCCTACGGCATGTTGCTCCCACCAAATTCTTCTTGATTGATCTTACACTGCACCTTGGAAATCTGAACAGTTCAAACAACGACTTTCTGGTGGACCATAATGGCCCCACATAGCCCCCAGCCACTGATTTCTGGCTTTCTGTCAAGGCTGGCACGAACACCCTCTCACAGTCACCATCAGCGAAGTAGGTGAGAACGGGTGAGAAGGGAAGGGCTCAAAGTCATCAGGGAGAAAAAAGAACAACCACTTACTCTCCTTGAAATAATCCATGGAAGTGGATGGCACCATCAGGGCCATGCCACCCGATGTCACTCACGTAGCTTTGAAACATCAATCTTCCTTTCTGGATTCTAAGATCTCCAAGCCTCCAAATCCTCAGGCCACAACAAATCCGTGTCTCCAAGTCCCACACATCTCTGACCCCCAGCGAGGCCAAGACCAGAAACTCCCTGATCAAACAGAGAAGTCCGCAACTCAACCGGTCGAGTCGACTCGTCCATCACACGCCTGAGCCTGGGGTGATGATGAACATGGGATAGCGGCGAACACCCAAGCGTTGAATCACCGCCTGAGCCGGCGGGGTGTTGCAAACGGGGGGGCACCCAGCAAAAGCGCTGGCATGAAATTGGGTGAAACCCTGGAGATCACATTTCTAGAGCAAATCTAGAGTGCACCAAGTGCTTGAATGTGCTGAAAGGACTCAAAAGAAATCCACAGAAATCCGCAAAAATCTTTCTTTCTTAGCGCGTACAGTGTCCTAAGACTCAACGCCTTGCTGGAAAAAAACAAAAAACAAAACTATGGAATAAACATCAGGCTTCGTGCCAACGCGGACTGCGGCACTCGACCACTTTTGAAATCCCAACTGACTCCATAGCCGGTCGGTCGGTCCGCGGGCGCCCCCCTGGCGCCCACATGGCACCCCCATGGCGCCGCAAATGCCAGGCATGGCTCGCAGTGCAGCTAGGTGCAGCGAGCCAAACTGGTGCAAAAATTACACTGGACGAGTGAAGGGAGGAGTCCTGCTGGAGTTGAGGTACAGCCCAACTGGAGGCACATGTTGGTCTATGGCGCTTGTGGAACCTAATCTTAAATAAACAAAGCATGATGCATGGTCCACTTCCATTGAAGCCAAAGGCCCCCGACTTTCCAAACCGAGCTGCACCGGGAAGCGCAGCTACTACCGGTAGCACCTTGGCTTCCCTGATGGGGGGCACATGATGCCCAATGACCCCCTCCGAAAGAACCCACCCATGGTAACCCCCGGTTGCATCGGTGTGGGTTGAACACACCCATCGGCACAGGGATGTTTTAGACCTCCAAAAAGTGGCTCCAGGACCGCTTTTTCTCTATTCAGGGCCTTGGTGGATGAAGGAACCAGGCTTGGGAAGTGAAGGAGCTTCCCGGTCGGCACGAGAAGAAATAGGCCAAAGTCTCGGTCATCTATGAGGGCGGATCCAAAGGGAAATCCAACCGGTCGGTGTCCTTCACCTGATGTCTGTGGAGAATCCAATGCTCCGAAAAGGACTCCGAGTAGAAAACATGCGGCCTCGATGACGTGTGGATTTTTCGGCCAACTGCAGCATCCAAGCCGCTAAGCCTCTATTTGCATCCTCTGATGAACCCACTTCTGGAAGTCAATGACCATATATTATAAGTACACACAGGATCATGTGATTGTGATGGACAGAAACCGACTAAGAGCGGGTACCATGAGCCAGTTTTCATGGTCGGAATTATCTACTAAGACAGTTGCTGTTTAGAGCTTGGTGTTGGGCTCTTGAACTTCAGCCTCCGTTAAATTCCATGCTACTATAATCCCTTCAATGAAGGTATACGGATGTATATACAGATGTATACGGTATATTAGGTATATTATACGGATGTATATGCAAATGTATACGGTATATTATATGAAGGTGCATTTCTTCAGATTCTAGGCTGACTTACAGCCAAACATGCCACTACGTAGTTGCTTGCCAGGAGAAAAGGCCATCCTCACGAGAGTCTCACCTGGTGATTGCAGTCACCAGCTCATTTCCAGGCCAAGGCCAATCACGTCAGCGGGCTGAGAAAACTGAGCAAAATTGATTCGATCTACAAGCCAGGACCCCCCACTGCCACTCCGGGCACTCTTTTCACGGCAGCTGAACTTGACAGTCTCAGCCAAGGGGTATTTGTCAACATATTTTCAACATTTTTCAACCATGTTCAACCTATATATGAACTATCAGTTTCAGTTTCGATGGTGCTATTTCATCTTGTTTCGGTTTCTTGTCACTGAAGGATAGGCCATCTTCACTCTTCACTGCTCGATTTCGCATTGGGAGGCCCTGACATTCAGCTGGATCACTCGGGCTTCCGTCACACCTGCACCTCCGCGGTGTAAGCCGCAACGGCCGCCTCTTCCTCCGGGCTTCCGCCGCGGGGAGCCGCCTGCAAGCGACCGCTCGGGGGTCGGAAAGAGGTGCTCAAGAGGTGCTTGGAGGGACTCATACGCTTTGGAGCACTTGGAAAAGGCACTGGAAAGGCACTGGGAACAGACACGGCACATGGGGAAGGCGAGCGTTTTGGAGGAATGTACACTCCAAAGGACCACATTATGGACCCTTTGAAGTAAGCACTGGATGGTCGATGAGACTGGTCTTACAGGCCATGTTCACTGTCCATAGTGGAAATTGTGGAAAGTAAGTATCTCCTGTGCAGAAACCATCTCGCACCTGTCTAGGGTGATCGATTCCGGAAGAATGAAATTGTGACAACACCCAGTCCATGCAGAACACCCAACAACACCTCTCCGGTTCACCCTGTCCGGTGCAAAGAAGATGACCAAATCAGCTCCAAAGAATACCCACGTGTCTCCATGTCTTGGTTGGATCCAGCAATTGCCCTCTTGAAGATACCTTCTCGTGTGATTTAGTTCCCAACAAGGGGATGTTCAGCATCACTCCTTTAACCAGTGGGCCGTCATGCAGTCTTACGCCATTTTGCGGGGGATGTGACACCTGCCCTGATTCCACATGTCACGCGCCTCTTCACCCCCGTGGCTGAGATCTTTGAGTGGATGCGCCAACCAGTGGCGGATCAGCACCTGACGGTGAAACACCCTCCCGGTTCACAAGCGGCTGGTGAGAAACCGTGAAAGGTGCGTACGGTCAGATGTGTCACAGGCCGACAAACCGCTATAGACAACTGAATGGACTAGAAATCGACAAACCGCTATAGAACAATAAGCTACTAGGAACAAGTGCATCGCTACTAGGAGCAAGGGCCTCACAAGTAGTAACAAGAAGCCATTATAGAAATCTGGTCCATGGTCGTCCATGGTCGTCCCCTCAACCCTCCCCTTGAGCCCCATCCACTGCGTTCCGACCGGTCGGTTCCAGCGCGAACCCAGCGGGCTTTGCTGCGCGAACCGTTTGAGGGGGAAACGATCCCCCAAGAGATGAAAGGGATCCGTCCGGACGCGCCAACCTCTTTATGGAGACACTCCGGTATATATAATGCCTATTATATTATAACGCCGATATATAGGCTCACATGGTCTGAACATGGAAGATGTTCAGCAGGGTTCGGTGAACATCCATGCCATCCACCAGCCACCAAATGAACCCCAAAAAACATCAAAAAGGCCAAGGCACCAGGGGAAGCCAAACCAAGGCCAGGCTCCCTGCCACAATGCTCAACACTGAGGCCTCCCGATTGGGCGACGATATGCGACGATACAAAAGCTGCAGAGATGGTCAGAAGTGCTTTCAAATTATATACCAGGGCCAAAGGGGAGAACTTCATGGATCTATAATGATCCATGATACATTGTCACTAGGTCCATTAAAAAGAAAAATACATCCATTCCCCCACCTTCTGGCACATGTTCGCAAGTTGATGCGCTGGGAAGAGCAAAAGCCCAAAAGGCACCAGCACGAACTAGTCTGTTCAAAGGAAGTTTCCACATGGCCCGCTGGATAAAACAGGTGGGTTTTTCATGTTGTGTCTTTTTTCACCCTTCCATGATTCTTTCAGGGAGTGCCAGGTTGTTTAATGATTTCTTATGCTGTCAATAGTCAGTCCCAGTCTCCATCCTAACACTCGATCTAACGCGACCTCTCCGCTCGGCGACCTCTCCGACCTCTCCCTCCTTTCGCCTGGAAGAGTCCCAGGCCCATGATCGATGACACCAACAACAGCACCAGAACGCTTCGAAGCAAGGCCTAGGTCTAGGTCTTCGACCCAGTCCGCCGAGTCCGCACAGTCCACGACGATTTTCAGTTTGAAAGACCCGTGGACCGGCACATCGACCGTTTTCACCCAAGAGGAACGTGCCCGAAAAGGACGTCCTTAGGCCCGGCCCCGGTGCGAGATGGGAAGGTTTGACTGCTGATCTCTTGTGTGGTCTTGACCTCCAAATGAGTCGGCGAATGGTTCCACTGTGAACTTGATGTTCAGATTAGTTGATGCATTCGGCCCATGGGCCCCATGGGGGTGCGGGTGGGGAGAACTGCTCCGGAAGGCTCAGTTTTGACTAGAAATGACCTCAAATCTGGACCAACATCACTAACCAGCCCATCTGCGCTGGTCATTCTGTAGAACAATTGATGCTTCCAAGTTCCTGTCCACCCCTCCATGCCCTTACATGTCCACCAGCATCACCCGTGGACATGGCCCCAGGAGGCACCTTCCAAACTCTAAGTGAAGAACCAAAAGAAACTGGTAGCCAGGACCCCTATAGAACATGACAAAGGATGTCAACCCGTTTTGTCAGTATCCTGCGAGTAGTCGGAGAATCGCTACCATCCAGCTGGAGCAAACAATCTGAATCTTGCTGTCTTAGCATGGTCTTGCCGGACTATTATCAAACCCATCAATCACTGACCGGCAAACTGTCTATGTTCAGTCGCAGTCTGCTGTGTCAAAAATTGTTGAGTTGAAATGCTCAAGGCGTCAAGAGTGGTTCTCGCTCCTCCCGCTTGGAAGCGGACCTGCCACCCCAAAATCCGTCGCCTGTCCCCCAAATAACAAGTCATTCCTACATTCCTCCATGCGCTTATACCATGTTGGACTGCAAATTGGTCCTTTTTGGTGTGAATGGCACCGGATAGCACCGGCTCTGGCCTTGGTATTGAAGCGCTTTCCTTCTCGCCAACCGCCCCAAAGCGCCAGCAGGGTGGGGATAGGGATGATGGCCGCCAGCTGCCAGTGCTGCATCAACATCTCCTGAACAATGCCGGAGCTGCAGATCAGTGAAGAATTATATACAGTGTACAACATAGATTGACAAAAAAAAACAGTCCAGTGACCGTTTCCAGTGCAGAAGAATACAATCATTGATCATCTTGAGTATGGCCTGCTCCGCCACAAGCTGACTATTTCAGTAACCCCCCAAACACCACGCACAGCGAAGCACAAGCTGAGGAGGTCCCCAAGAATTTAAGAACACAAAAAACACACGAGGCGGCCCTGATTGAGTGGATTTGGTCACTTTTCGTGCTCAGTCTCCACACCCAACCACCTCGAGCCGACATGGTTCAAGTCTGCTCAGCTGTGGAAAGACGGTCACATAAAATGCCCTGAGAGTCCAAATGACGCATCTTTCCTCCTATTGTAGTGGTGGATTTTGACTCCCAGGTGGTATAACACGAGTCATTGAACATTCTGGGAAAACTGCAGAACTGGGGCCTGGTGACGACGGCGGACGAACTTGACTGACGCCCAGTGATTCACCCAAAACACGTGATCGGGAGAATGTACAATAGGCATTCCTTCCAAGTATGTCTGAAACAGGTCGTGCCCTGCAAAATCCCTGCATTGTGGATCAACCCCACTGTTGAGGGCACCTCGCTTCTCTTCTACACTCCGCGATCGCGAATTAACTGTCTTCCACTTCTAATGACCTGGGGCAGTCTCAATGGTTTAAAAGGCTTCTAGTTGCCCTTGAATTGGTCTTTGGAGCTTAGTTCAGTGCACCTTTTGACTGACAACAAGGCAATCTTTCTCCGTGAGGGGCAAGGTGTCAAGAAAATGTCGTGCCTGAATCAGCACGAGGTGGCCTAAATAACTGAAACAAAATGCGGCAATATATGTAGCGACCCAAGTCTTGACAAAATGCAATTTCCGCATGATTCAACCATCAATTTCAGCAACGTTCGCACGCAACCCATCTATACATGACAGTCATCTTCGTCTAAAACGTACTGTACCACGTAGCATGGGTATGCCTGTTTCCCATCACAGATCACAAACTCCTGATGAGTCTGTGTTTCATTGTGATGTCCATCGATTGGCCCAGGATTGACCACGACAGAATCATAAAGAAGTCCAAGAGCACTGTCTCGCACTGGTGGTCTTCGCTCCTTGCGCCTTGTCTTCTCTGCCGCATATGCATCACCAAGTGTAACACGAGCAATGATCAAGGTGCGTTCCAGCTTGCAGCCGCAGCACGACGAATGCTTCCCGCACGTGTACCTGACTTGCTATCACCCACACCACCTGATACCGGCCAATCTTGCATTTTGCTCTGGATGTGGCTATATAAAGTACAACATTGCACAAAAGCAAAACAAAAAGCATTTCACCTGTGCCATCAAATCGAAGACCAACAACACGTACCGCGGGACGAGCGTCCGGAAACGTGCCCCCTTGGAACGCGCCGATGGAACATCTCATCACAAACTATCAGGCAACTAGCTCATGCGCCATAATACTGGGGTGATGACATGTATTTGACTAAAGTCAGGAACCTCTACAAGGTACCAGGTACCCTTTCCCAAATCATGCGCTCGATATACTGTCTTTACCTTTGCTTGAGGGGATGACGCAATGGGCCTGGCATTGACATGCATTGACTATATTGTCTATAGGTGATTGCCAAGGAACTGGTGGCTCTTACAAGCTGCTGCTGCAAAGTAAACCCCCTCGCCATACATGCCGCGACGGGATGTTCGAGGATCAAAGCCATTCAGAATGATAGAATCCACGTTGTCCCATCTTGTGCCATGCAGCAGTATCTTCTCCTGCAGATCCTCTTCCAAAGGATCTCCGCAGTTGAAAGCAGCTTGGTGACTGGTCATGATCTTTGTGCCACTGCCATCCAAATCCAGGTCTACAGGAGTGGCTGAAATATTGAAGTTAGCATGTTTTTGTCGCAAAGCGGCACGCGTTGCCTTGTATCCTTGCCAAAGGCTCCAGTTCTCAATCCTGTGCACCGAAATCACTTTAGCTGTGCTCATGCATGAGCAAATGAGATTGTCGTTGCATGCATGACCTGACTGTTGCAGAATATCACGCACTTTGGCATGAATGTTCATATCTGTCACCTTGATATAGAAGGAGTCAGGCTGACCAACCTCTGGCAACAGCAACCTTCTGGGCGGCGTTGTCCATTGCTCTGGCACGCCAGGTACGATGCGAATGTGCCGCACGCAGCCGTTGTCACCGCGCCTTTGCAGCATAGCCTTGAAATCAACTCGGCGGGTGATGCCGGCAGAGTTGATGAATACTAAGCTTTTGAGTGGATCACGGAGGTATGTTAAATATGCCTCATTGATTTGATCGTTGCCTTCAGGTGGAAACGCGTGCCAGCATCCATCCACTTTGTACTGCCATATTGCACCTTGAGTGGTGGCAATGCTGGAGGTGCGCTTCTGGAGTAGTTCCACTTCAGCCTTGAGCTGCTCATTTTCTTCAGAGCTTGCAGTCAACAACTTCTGTACATCTTCTAGCTGCTTCAAGGACTCTTGATGATTCTCTTTCTCACTTGACAAACGAGCTTTGAGCTCGCGAACCTCTGCGTCTTTGCATTGTAGCGAATCCTCTGTGACCTCCTTTACCTCTTGAAGTTGACTTACTTGGCTCAGGATCTCCTTCAAATCTAGTCTGACCAAAGAATCCCACACTTCCTCCAGGCGTCTTCGCTTTGCTCGTTCTCTGTCTAATGCCGCTTCACTCCTCCGCAGCTTTTCCTGCAAGTCTGTGGTCTCTCTGGCATCTTGCCCTGGTCGTTCTCTTGACCGGCTGCGTGATCTTGCTGGCTTTCTCCCAGAAGGCTGATTGAACTCCCACTCATTGTCCCCACTCGAATATGGTGCTTCCGGCCCCACTTCCTGCACAGCACATGTGAGCAAGGCCTTTTTCAACCTTCCCACCGAATCTGACACAATGGTCGCGTCCGCGAGGCCAGGGAATTCCCTGCGCAGCACACCAATGACACTGTCATAATCACCATGAAAGCCACTGCAGCAATCCCCTGTCCAGCAGCTCTTCAATTCCACGAGAATCGTTGACACATGATTGAAGGAGTTCCGAGCTCTCCACCGAGCTAACCTCTCTAGATCTACACAAGGAGGAACAGCATGAGGCTCCAGGTACTTGTCCAGGTGTATGATGCCTTTGAACTGCCAACGACCCAGCACCCGACCCAAACGGGAGAACTCACGGAGCAGCACGTGGTGCACGTGCTCCAGCTCATCTTCAGCCTCCTCAGAGTAGTCCTCATCTGGGAAATTGATAACGAATCCATGTAGATGAGGCAAGAACATCTTGTCTGTTGTCTGGGCGGCGGTATTTTTGTGGTAGAACAATTGTAAAATGCAAAAGCCAACGTCTTGGAAATATGATGCTTGCAATATGTTGCAAGTTATCTTGCATGTGTAGAGTGATATCATTGTACTTTTGCAAGTAGGTCATGGCAGGCCTGTCGTACATATTCCTGTTGGTTCTGTCTTCTGTCGCACTTCTGTCGCCAAATGGCTGTCACTGTCAACCGGTTGATGTCCCTGAATCCGACTGCGTGCATCTCCCAAACAGAAAACCCTCCAAGCAAGGTACATACCCAAACCATCCATGTATGGAAAATTACCAGTCACATGCATTTATCCACTCATGACCCATCCATGTAAGGAACTATTCCTTACATGGATAGTCGGGGATATACAATATAGACTTTGGACTATATAGATGATTATATATGATTATAATAGAATACCACATGATTCAGGAGCCTGCCCTGATTCTTCCTCAAGACACACCTGTCATCAAAATCCCGGACATCCACTCGACATAGACTGATGATGGTGCTTGCCAAAAAGACCCAACGGATGCGTCACCGGGTGCATCCGGTAGAAGCTAGTAGCCACTTCATAGTAGCCGCCGACTGCCCATGTGGGTGGTTGGACAGTTGGGCTGCCTACATGTCCCCAAGGCCGCTCCTGAGCTTCAAGAGAGTTCAGGGAAGTGAGCCTCATGAAGGCGGTCACCAGGAAGAAGCTCTGGCTCAAGATGAAGCAGGTCTTTCCTCAATGCATTCCGAGGCTGTTCTTTGGTCCCAGGCTTGGTGGCAAGTCCGACCATGTCGCCCTTAAAAATGGCCCTTGCTCAAGTGGACTGCTTGATACTGGTTGGCTGAAAGGGTTTTGCATGGGTGTCTTGATATAGGGGACCCCCTAGTAGGACCCCCTAGCCACTCACGGTCTTCTTCCGCAATTGATGCGCCTCGATGTATGCCCAACCAATCGGCCTTGCTATAATTTCTGTTGATTCTCGTGAAACTATTAGCACTCAGGTGTATGCACATGCATAATCAAATAAACATCCATTCATTGGATGACTTGATTAAACCAACTCCTGAGCCCGCACCTACATTGATTCACGTTCCAGCCAGTAGGTGCACACTGAATAACATGTTTATGTTTTTCCTTGGTTCCTTGTGTGACTTGTGTGGCCTCGATCAAAGAACTTCACATACCAACACACACACCCGCCCTGCACCGGGCAAAGCTGGCATGGTGTTGGCATTCCAACAGTTGTGCGAGCCTTGGTGGGTCAACCAGGGTCTTCAGCTTTTGGCTCGATGTTTTTCCATTTATCTGTGGGTCATGCGGGTCATGGCACCCAGAGCTAGTTTCACCCTGGTAGGCTGACTTCCTTATATATATATATATATAGTCTATGTCTATTCGATTCTATTCGGTTCATATTCCGTGGTCAACCAGGGTCCCCCAGTGGAAAGACCACCACTTGTTGGGGGCGCAGATTGCTCGTGCGCCAGTTCCATCACCTGGGCTCCACGGTGAAAACCACACCACGCCCAGGTTCCGTTCAGTCGCCCGGCGCTCAAGACGGTGGCAAAATAGACCATCATCCTCAGATCGCACGGATGAGCGGATGAGCATTATTTTGCCGGGGGTGGGTGAGAAAAGTCATGAAGGTTCTCCATGCATCAGTGATCATCAGAGGTTTCACCAATTTGGGGATGTCCCACAAATGAACAAGATAAACAAGTAAACGTGATCAGGAATGCCTGCCAAGACCTCCTGAAAGGGCCCAAAAGATGTTGATTGAATTGAAAGCCTCACCACTCAAGACAAAACTATATCTTCATGAAACTGTTCGAATATCACTCAGCACATATGGAATGCGGTGGGGCTATTTCCATCCACACTCGCAGCAAGGGAGGACAGGGATTCAACATGATTCAACACATGCCAAGCATCCCAAATCACAAAAGCCATTGGATTACAATTGGGATCTCCTAAATCCTTTGCAAAAACAAATGGCTTCTCCGCTAATTCTGGGGCAGCCAAGGGCACATGTGTCCCCCCCCGCATATATCGTCGGCCAAAACGCAAGGGTCCCGGCAAGCCCAGCAAGCCATTGAGGAAGCCACTGCCAAAGCCCAGGAGGATGAATTCCAGTCCCATAGTGCGGCAAAGCTCCTTGTCCGGCTTCTCAGCCGACTCCTGAAACGTGAGCAAAGGTCCGTTGATTTCGGCGAGCCCAGCAAAGCCGAGGCATGTGGAAGTACACCAGGCTGAGAGGTGCCCGGTTGATACAGGTGGCTTGAGAACCAAGTTCTTCAAACTTGAGTCACTGTAGTACACCATCATCATACAGAATGGACCTTCTTAAAGCTCAAAACATGTATTATATGTCTAGAAAAACACATGTTCACCATGAATGCCAAAGACACCCAACGGGGGGCACACATGTTCGAGCTCTCGCGCCTGAATCGGTCGTCTCCAAACACCAACCAACAATCACCGCAACATCAACCAGCCAACCAACCAACCAACCAGCCAACCAACCAGCCAACCAACCAACCAACCAGCCAACCAGCCAACCAACCAACCAACCAGCCAACCAACCAACCAGCCAACCAACCAACCAGCCAACTTGTCTTTGTCTTACTTGCAGTGGTTGTCACTCTTTTCTTCTCGTGACATCCTCCTGGTCCAGTCGTCCTCCGCGGGGGTGGCAATTCTGAACTCCACCGTGAGCCGATACATCGCCACGAGGAAAAAGATCAAGTTCAGGGCGGTTTTCGTGACCTGTCCGTTGTGAATGTCCGAGTTGACCCGGAAACTTTAAACGATCCGAAACAACGAAACACTTGCAACCAAGGAAGCTTTGAACAAACCCAAGCCGAAGGTATTATTGAGTATTGAGTCAGGGTGACATGTTCAAACATCTTCAGCTTAAAAGGGCTCTGTAGCCTTCCCTCCAGCTCCACGATTCTCCAAACACCCTGCGGAGTGTTCAGAACGGGTCCCCCACCTGGAGAATCTCTCGGTTCGCCGTGCTCTGCAGCAAGAGGTACATGCCCAAGGCGGTGCCGGGAAGGCAACCCAGAAAAAGCAGCCTGTGCTGCTCGTGCAAGCGCGGCAATTCTGGCGCTCAACCCGGACACTGCGAGAGTCAGACGTGCTTGGGACGAGAGTCGACGTGGATGTGTTTGAGTGGTTCAAGTTGGGTGAAACCTCTTTGGGAAATGACATCGGTTGAGCGATGTAACGAAGTGTGAGTCACGAACTGTGACCGGAACCCCGCGCCCATCCACACGAGCAAAATAGCAAAACAACAGTTGGTGCCATATCCAAGATAAGTTGCAGCTGGCACCGCCAAAGACTGAATGCCTTCCTGCGACTGCAGCTTGAGAAAAAACGAGAAGTGATGATGATAACTGCTGAACACCATCTAAGAGTTCATTGTGGGAGATTCTAGGAGAGGCAGCTTCTATTCAACACTTGAAGGCCTGACTCATGAGCCATGAGTACAGCCAGCTCTCGCTTAAAGCAGGTTTTCTTCATACTTCTTCATGCCTCATGACTCCTAAGATCATATGATTATGGCACAGTTCTTCATACATCTTCAGCAGCAGAAATCCATAGAACAACTAACATCAACCAACCTGCTTAGCCTGCTCCTGTTCAACTTCCTTCTTCTCCATCCGATGCACGAAGAAAGCCGGTCCTGCTGATGGCGGCGAAGAGCACCGGAGAGCAGGTGAGTTCGAAGACGGTGCCCAGGAGGACCATCAACAAAGCACTGTCCTGAAAAAACGGACCATCCATGGAACTCAAGTTTCAGAATGTAATTTAGATGTTACAAAAAATATAGTTATTTTAATATGTTGATTTATATTTTGATGTTAATTGAAAAATTTAGGATTATGTTCTTGTAAATTGGTACATCTATGTCCATGATCATGTAATTTTGTCACCTATGTATCATTCTTCCGCACATGGACAGAATCGCTTCCACCTCAGCCACCCGAACACCGCAGACCGGGCCTTCCCTGGCACATGTTCTGGTGGAACTCAGTTCTTTGGCCGGTTCTGAGGTCCAAGTGGTCCAAAGCCACTTCCGGGAGAAGAACACCATGGTGGATCTGGTCTGGAGCCCGACTCCAAAGAATGTGTGGTATGGGTCAGTTGACCCCGGGTCCATCAATCCAGCAACCCAACTGGCCACGAAAAGGGCGCAGTCCTATGAGTCCCTCTCTCTCTCTCTCTCTATCGGTCTCTCTCCATCGCCCTGTGCAGGAGATTAGCCTTTGGCTAAGGCCTCTGAGTCAGGTTTCTTAGTTAGCATTTTTGAGGACTGTGCGGTGCGAGTGAAACATGTTCTCCGTTCAGGTGCGGTATACGAACAACAGACCCGAGTGCCAGAGTTCATGCCTTCTTGGTCTCACCTCAGGCATGGAAATGGGGGGTGGCCCAGCAACATGTGATCTGGAAGGTTTGTGGTCTTTGATCCATCTTCCCCATGAACCCAGTCCAGAAAACAAATGATCCGAACTCCGGGTCATCGATTTTTGCCAAAAAACGCCCGCCATGCCAGCCCAAAATGCCGAACGCAGCGAACGCAGGCGGCATCAACTCTCGTGCTCCCAAGGATCCAGGTCGGGTGCGACCTGAAACTGCCCGCAGAAGCTGTAAACCAGCACAAACCTCAGCAGGTCGCGCCCCGACGGGTCACCCAAGGCGAGGTGCCTGCAGGTTTCAGGTGATTTCTGCTCACATGCCCCATGTTGGGTGGGGTGCTTTGGAATGAACCCGCCTGAAATACCATCACAAAGTGCCGCCCCCAAAAAATACGCCTCAGTGTTCCAGAGCGTCCAGTTCTCCAAGTTCTCCCACACCAAGCAACAGTTTTGGGATGTTTTGGGGGGAACATCCCTGTTAACATCATTAAACATCCCTAGTTTCACTCTCACATTGGACATCATTGGACCCTGCCTGAGGTCGTCCCCTGAATTTCTCCCATCACTCGGCTCCACGGTCTCCGTGCCCAGTGACAAGATGGATCCTCCAAAGCCCGTGGCTGCACGGACGAACGCGCCGAACATGCAGCCGGTCACGACCACCAAAGCAGTGCCCGGATTCATGGCGATGTGGAGCGCTGCGTGGAGCGAGGAAAAACAAGGTTTTTCACCGACCATCACCGACCTCAAGCCTACAACTATACCATGGACAATGAGCACATGTGTCCGACATTGAAAGTATTGGTGGATGGTGTATCATGGCAGCATGCGTCCAAGTACCCTTTGATATGGGCAATATGCATCAATATGCATTCAAGAGTTCAGCCGTTCAGCCTGTATCTGAGAGATGTCAGGCTTCTGCGTGACTTGGGGGAAATGATTGAAACCACGTGATCGACACTCGACACTTGGATTGTCTTTTGGAAGGGGAAGTGTCCAAGCCTGTCTTCTGCTGTTGAGCTTAGTATGCTGCAGCAAATCACACATCCGGTAGCCCTCCACCATCCGAATGTTCCAATAAACACCAAAACTTCGCGAGCCTTGTGGAATTCCGAGGAAGCGAGGATCGTGACACCGGAGGGTATCCACTGATTAAGGCTTTAAGGATCTGAAGATCATGTGTTAAGCGTCACTACGTATGTGTCTATATATGTCCTGTTTGTTGTCTGCTTTCTGGGCGCCAAAGGGTTATCACAGTACTTTCTCTATCACACGGGCTTTGCTTGCGGTCACAAGCCACCACGTCCAGCATGAAAGCCATGTAAGCCACCACAGTTTGAAGCTTTCGATCGGATCATTGGCTGTAGACCCCGGGCCCTATGATCCCTATGTACACTTCGACTCATGCTACATGGCTACATGGCATGGCATGGCCCCTTGGATGACCATAAAATCCGAATATCAAACAGGTGGTGCCACCTCCACTTCCATGGAACGTGAGCCAAAGGGTGCTCCTTCATGGGTTCTCAGCAACGATCTTGCCAGGCTCCACAAGGACAAAGGTTGGCTCCGTGAGACAAGACCTTATTTTGGGGGGGTCAGCATTACTGGAACCCTGCATCTTCTGGGAACATGAACCCCACATCCCACAAGGGTCTGCTGGGCCTCGTCTGCTGTGAAAACATTGAGATGTGCCAACTTCACCTCACGTTCAGCGCTCGAGGGGTGATCTGTGAGCTGCCTAGGCTTCCTAAAAGTGGGGACTAGGAATAGGAGACCAAACATGGGACCCGAGCCTGGGGCACACAACAAGATAGGCTAGGCCAAATCACAGTAGCTTCTCCAGAAATATTAAACATCTAAATCTGCCAAACCGATGCCAAAGAAAAACAACACATAATACGCCTGCTCTAAACGGTTGTTGATTTCCAGGACTGTCTGTTGCCTTTCAATGACCTCTTTTCACCGACCTACGCCACCGACACCGAGAATACCGCCCGCCTCCTGAGCTACCTCAAACATCCATTGCCCAAAGTAGTGACGCCTGAGCTAGAGCTCCGCCGGATGGCAGAAGTCGGAGATGTGTTGCTCGAGAGCAAGCAACACATCAAACGACGGTGTGATGTCTGGGAGGTCAATGCATACTGAGGGGATCAGTTCATAAATTCTGGATAAACACAAAGCTCATCGTTATGGTCATCCCATCGTCTGTGACTGTCTTGACTGCCATCAGGCAGGACATGGAAGAATCCTCAGGCAGAACTGTCAGATCAAAGCATCTGGCACCAGTGGTCCAATAGGTGCTTCCAAATAGATGCTCCAACCAATGCAACAGATCCCGCAAATTCAAACTAATTATCAAGAAACTCGTGTCTTGATGCGCATGACGCCTCAAGGGGTTGAGAGTTCTAGATGCTTTGCCTCACTGGGGCTTGCGCACCCCATCGCCATCCCCCGGGTCCCGGAGACTCGGGCGCGTGGAGACTCTGCGCGCCCGGGCTGATCTGAGTAGACATGGATCACGCAAGGCCTGAACAGGTTGGTGTTTCGTGCTGCTTTGAGGTCACCCCGCCACCCAGTCAAAGCGATGCGAGTGCTCTCGATCCTTCTTCTTCCGGAACGGTCGGGGGTGCACAGGTTGGAGCAATTGACGTTCTGGGTCGACACTGGGAAACATGTTCAGAAACTGATCGCGGTGGGCGTCCTGTAGAACATCCATGCTTTCGCTTCCAGCCTGTTCTGAGGTTCATCACGTGATTCTTTTGGGACGTTCTCCCGGTTTTGGCGGATACCAATTCTCAGAAACCACATTCCCACCCAGAACGCTACTGAATCAGCAAAATGGTCTTGGCTCTTTACCTTTTTGGATTTGCTGAACGAATCAGGAAGGAATATGGAAAATAAAGACAACTTTCCCCAGAGTTTGATCCAGTTCGGGAAAACAAACATCACATCTGCAAAATCTGGTGTTTTTTTGATGCCACGGTCTTTGCAGGTCACCCATGGCAGGATCCGCCAGGTCACTCGTCCATGTCGATGATCTTCGTCAGCTGAGCCCAAGTCGTGACCTTGCTGCTGAGCGCGAGGGCAGCGCAGTGATCGACTCCATATGTCTCTCTGCAAACGGAGTCGATGGCACCATCTCCCAGAGTCGATAGTTAATATTGGACTCCCGACTGCCAACAACAACACAACAGGGCCCCTGTAGTAGTAGTAGTAGTAGTGGTGGTGGTGGTAGTAGTATGCATATTGTACTGCTATTCTGTACTATACTATCTCATTATTGTCTTATTGTCAGTGTTGGCTCTCACTTGCTTGTGCTAAAAGGGCTTCAGCATTAGCCTGGCTAGTCCCTTTGGCAGTTGTCTTTCGGACATAGTCACCAAAACCAAAAATACCAACAGCCTTTGCACCCAATAATTTACTGACTGGCAAGCCGGCTCCACGTCACGTTCCATGAGGGTCTCTCAGCGATCCACGCGACTGTACAGGCTTCCCTCGGTTCGCCTGCTGATGTTCTGGGGTCGGGAGAGTTGGGAAGCGAATTCATGTCATACAAACACACCAAGCCGACTCCCTTAAAAGGGGATAGAATGGGAGGGAAAGAACTGAGCAACCAAACTATACAGCTTAATTGTCCGACGTCCGTTCGTTTGACATCAACCGACATTCGACATCATGAGGCACCGGCAGGATCACCCGGCGGTTTGAAGCCACTGTCAGCACCCTCCCACCTGGGTCATGCGGGTCGACGGGAGAGCTGGTGGATGCTGGGGCAAATCAGCTGGCCAGCTACTACAAGTGGCACTGCAAAGGCCTCCCGCTCTCAGGCAGGTCCAGGTGCAGTTGTTGACAGAATGGAAAATAGGGGATGGGAAGCCAAGTCTGGGTTGCTCGATGTTGCTCCACTCAGTGTCAGCTCCCACATTGTGGATGGGAAGCGTTTGATTGTTTGGTGTTATAAACGCAGTTGCTGGGCAGAAGCAAATTGCTCAAACTGCGTGGCAGTTGGAGCAGCATCAGGGATCTCGGATTTAGATTCTGATATCCTTCCAGCAATCACCCAAGTGCACAGCATAGAATTTTACTCTCTAAGTGATCATAAAGGAGGTATGCCATGCTGGAGGGTGGGGCATTTTGCAACAATGCACGAATGTAAGACTGTGTAAGAGTTCATTGGCTGCTCACCGCTTGGACATGCGATCAACCTCCTACGTCCTCATAGCCAGTTTGCAAATTCTTGGTGGATCTGACGGCCAACTCCTGGTCTGTCCTCCTCACTTCTTAAATGCTAGCAATTCCGATCCTCATCAAATAAGGCAAGTGGCTACACCAGACTTCTGTGCTCTTGCTTAGTCATTCCTTCTAGAGATCTGTGACCCAGCACTGGTGTGTTGAACATTGAAGTTGGTGGTTGGTTGCTCTTCAATCAACCACCCCTTCTGATTTCCTTTTTCTGCTTTGCTCATCTTTGCTCTACTTCATCTGCCCGGGCCCCTCAAATTAGCGGGGTTTGTGTTTGTGGCGATCGAACGTTGTGTTTGCCAACGTGTGGGCATGATCGGTCCCAAGAAAGCTCAGTGGGCAAAATGGCTGACGTTTCATCACTCAAACTGACGGTGTGCTGTAAATCTTGCCAGCAATTGCTATCACGAGCCTTCCGAAGAAAGAAAAAGAACTGGAATCTGTTCTGTGCTCCCGGGCTCCTCCCCAGATTCCTCTGAGAAGAAGGCCTCCATGCAACATTGACTAAACGGTGAGGGCCGGTCGTCCTCTGCCCATATAGAATGAGCGGTAAATTCCATGATGGTTTTCCCCGCCTGACTTTCACCAAACTCCACTGCTACGCTACATGCATTTGCTGTTTCAATCTCGTACGCTAGAAGAGGTTGTTGCTGGAGGACTCTTTCTTGCTTCTCCAAGACTCCATCATCATTTCAACATCCCTACCCTTTCCTGAGGGGGGACGTCAAACAATGTAAGTTACATGTTCCTATGCGGAGGACCTGCAAAAATGCAACATGTGCGACAGGCAACAACAGATTGAATGTCGGAAGGCGCCTTCTGGTTATCGTAACGCCGACGCTTATCGGCATCTCCAAGAACCTCAGCAGCCAATGACGGGCACTGCATGAGCCGAAACCAACATAAACCAACCAAATAAATTGCAAGTGTTTGTAGCTGCGGACAGACTCATGAGCTTAGCATGGGGAAAAACATGATGGAAAATGGCTCGGACCACATCACCTAGCAAAACCCATGAAAAGACCTCAAGCCCAAAAACAAACTGGAACCAAACTCATCCCCCTTTGCTCCACAGCCCTTCTCCCCTTTCCGCCCTTCTCAAACATCTGCCTCGTAGGCCTGTTGCACGGCCTCAAGGAGCTGATGTCGCCGATCAAGCCGAGCTCAGTCGAGCGCTCTTGGCTTGTTTGGTTCGACTACTAGTGGCATTCCATGGGCTTCATTCACCTCCTGGGCAAAGCACCCAAACCATCCCAAACCTAATTATATGGTCAAACCAGGCATTGTTCCGAGGCTTTAGGTGTGTCATGATGTACTGTACTCTTTGTGGGTTGGCGGTGCCGGTGCGGAGAAGGCTGTTCAAACATGCAGGTGCGTGTATGGATGGCAAGCGTGTCATGAAAGCGTTGCATACTCTTTGGTTTTGCACTATGGAAAGCCTGGAAAAAACAAACAAAAACTCAATATCTTATAAAAACTACACAATCCCGTTACTAATCCCGTTCAATTTCAGTGCAAGCACAAGCCCTTCTCTATCTTCTCTGGCCTGCTATCGTTTTGTCACCTCTCTCTATCTCTACGTGTTCGTTGGTCTGACGTCTGCAGCAGGTCTTGAAACCCATGTGCCTATGTTGAATAATTAGACAACATATTGCACACTCATCCTCTATCAACTGCACTCTAAATCAGCATGCCAATGTCTTTCCACCCGGTCGAGACCGTCTCCGGGGCTCCCTTTTCTTCGGCTTCCTCGTGGTCGGCGAAGCCGCGGATCTCACAGAAACGTCTTCCCGCGCCCGGATGACGTGCGCCAGGGAGGCGGCTCGTGGGCTCGCGCGACCGGTGGAGGCATCGGCATCGACAGCTCGACCACCTGGGAGGTTGGTGAGGTCGGTCTAGGTCGACGCGAAGGAAGTCAAGGGAAGGAAACGGAAACTGAATATGTTGGCTGGGTTCATGCGGCTGTTGAGGCAGGTATTCCGTATGTTCTTCTGCTAACTAAGAGGTGTAGGCAAGAATCTGCGACCTGACGTGCCCGGACATAGGACCATGGGACCATGCGCTGGGGAAGCGCGAGAAGATATGTCCGCCGGGCTGCTACGGCAAGGGTCTTCTCACAGTCCTAAAGCACTCTAAATATAGACAGGGGTTGGGAAGAAGAAAGCATCCCAAACTATGAAAATGCCAAACACACCGGCCAGCAGGCCGGAGGAAAGACTTGGACGAGACCGCGGCTGATCAATTCAATGAAGAAAACCTTCAGTTGAAAAACCAATCTACAGAAGAAAAAAAACAAACCAGCAACACGGAGAAAACACAGTTGCACTGCGTTTTCATCCTTGGTTCCTGCGGTTCCTCATGGTTCCTTTCCCTTCCCTCTGTGCCTTGTAGCCCGCTTCGCCCACCATGGGCTTCTTCGCGAAGAGCTCTCCAGGGCGGCCCATGTAGACGCCTCTTCAGGTGGGGAGTGGTGGATTCGTGGACGGATCGATGGTCGCCTGGAAACGTTTGAGACAGGCTTCACCGGGCGAAACATCAGGCACAGCCAAACACAGTTGACATCAACAAGATCCAGCCAATCCTCAACATGTTCAACAAAGCACCTTCACTTGCCCCAAACTACCACAACTACATGACAGCCGTCACGGATATCCAATCCACTAAAGGAGGCTGGAAAATGTGTTTGCTCTTTCAAGCTTACAAGTCCAAAGACCAAGTAAAACCTGGCCTTAATCTTCTTGAGTAATGTGTTTGTATGACCAACTCCAGTACAATGAAGTCTTTGACATGTAGGCTTGAGAGTACAGGGCGGAGTCTCACAGTCCATCTGCACCGTCCATCCCATCTGCCAAGGTTCAATGGCTGCGTCTGCGTGGGTTGCTCAAACAAATCGGCGGAGGGTCCTGAGATCACATGGTGGACACAACGCTCCAAGGTGTCTGCGAAAAAATGAAGAAAAAGAGACACGAGAACCAAAATCATCTTGGAAGTGGAGGCCCCCAAATGGATAACCAATTTCCAAATCTAGTTCCTTTTCTCCCACTTCTTTTCCATGTTGGTGACAGGCAAGCGCACCCCCCCGAAAAAGGGAGGAAGCACGGTCACGCACCACGGACACCACGGTATACCGTAGGACGATGCAGGTGCGTCACTTTTTGGGAAGGCTGGTTCTTGGCCCTCTTGATGGTCTACTTGGGGCTAAGAATTTTATGGTACGAGTAGCACAAGCGCCTGCCTAAACACAAATCACAACCTCTAAGATTTCCCAAATCAAAAACCAACAGAATCTCAGCGACCGTGAGGGAGCAGGTGCACCAGGTCGCAGTGAAAAAACACAGTGTTTGTTCCTTTCAAGCAGTTCCCCCAAACAAATAGCTCAACAAAAAGATCAAACAGATCTGTCCAAGCATCTGGGTGGGTGAGTATTTGTTTGACGTTCCGGGAGTGTGTTTGACGTTCTAGGGGGTATGCTGCGTGCAGTTTGAAGACTAAAGCATATTGGCATATTGTAGCATTTTCAGAGGGTATGCTTCAGGGGTATCCGTGCCTAAGTGGCGAACATCCCAACGAACTCTACGTAGACTGGACGCGTTAAGCATATTATATAAGTACTGTATAGTACTGTATATAATACAAACCCATATATATTGTGTTGCACTGTGTGACATATCTACAAGCACCCCAACAGGCCCAACAAACTGCCAGGCCAGGTATATTCATAGTTCTGCGTGATATCGGAGCTGTTTTGAGGCCACCTTGACCTGCACCAAAAAAACTTCAAGAGAACAACATAGCTGCTCCATGCTGGCCCCAGCTTCCACGAAGCCATCCGGCTTGCACGCCTTTCCACAACCGCCAAAGCCCAACTTTGCCGCCATCTCCAAGGCGATCTCCTCGAAGTGCCGCGGTCGTGTGGTCGGGGAGACCGAGCAAAACCGGACAAGCGAAGTATGAGTAACTCTAGGAGTGATCGGTAGTTGCCAGCACCACCCAGTTTGGACGGTGTATAGACCCCCTGACTCCTGACCATGCATTTTCCAATCCAACAAGCCACCCTAGATTAGACTGGTGCTGTTAATATGAAGTTGCCAATCACCCCACAAAAGAGAGAGCTCGTCACCTTGGCTTGTCAATGATTGGCTTGATCATGCTTCCACTTCGCACTCAAGGAAAAAAGGGTGCTCGCATACCATAGAAAAGCAAAAATACAACATGATTCCCTTTTTAGCCCTCACGTGATCAAGGTTCTGACCTCTTGGTTTCAGTGCATGACATACCTTCACTGAATTCAACAGTTCAGCACAACACAAACTCTATACATATCCCTGTGCAACTACCTATATAACTGCCCGTGCATACACAGTTGACCAAATCCCAAACTCTTTGAGCCGGCTGCCTCAAGTCAGCTCAGAGTCGTAATGATCGGCACTAGGCCCCATAGTTGGCTCATTGAAAGGTGGAATCACATGAGCTAAGGTGGAATCACATAGTCCAAAACCGGTAGAACATGCTCAACCACTGATGGTTGTAACCCCACTAACAATGAGGTCCGTTGCGCGCCGGTAGCTCACATGCAATCCATTCAGATTGCAGGGTTCCTCACAATGAGGCCCTTTTCGGTAATAGTAGAGCGGTCGATTTAGAAGCATTTATACTCACCCTGCGACTAACATGGAAGTGGAAAATGGCCTCCGGAAAGACCATGTCCCAAAAAAACAGGGGCTTTTCCACTTCCACGAGAGTTCTAGGGAGAGTATATACATCGTCTATCATATCTGTTGGTTCTACATGGTTCTACATGACCTTGCGAGAGTCAAACGGGTAGAGCTGAAACTTGGCTATATTGCCATTTCCAGGGCCCAGTGGATGGTGCCTGGCCAGAATAGCAGGCAGGCATCTCTAAAAAGTAGTGATAAGACCTTCTTCTTAAACCAACTGTTGCAAATAATAAGGACAACCCCAAGCTAAAACACTGGTGGGCCAAGCTCATCCCCGCCCCCGACCATCCGCCCCTCCGAGCCCCTCCACCCATTGGACGCTGGGTCTCTTTGGACAGCCTGGCCACTAACTTCACCTGGAGACGGAAGAAGTGGTAGATGTGCGACAGTTTTGCTCCAAAATCAGTTTGATATATGGACCATCCAGGACCTGGGTGGGACCTGGAGATCCGCAAAATGGTGTGTAGGGTAGTCTATGGGACACCCAAACAGGATGGTCCTGGTATATATATCGCACATCTTTGTTTTTCAAAGGCACGGTGACTATTTTCTGCACTGATTGCCAAGAGGGAGAGCCTGGCTTTGGTCGATGGCCGCAGAAACACGACTCTTAGTTGATATCAATGACAATCAAGTCTGGTTGGTATTTGTCAGAGGGTCCAATCATCCCCAAGTAATAGACATATCTGAAACCATCACCTAGAAGTGGTTTGCGCACTCCCTGCAACTGGTTTTCCCCCCTAACTATTACTCAATATGGATATGAATGGATATATATATATAACTTTCAAACATCAAGTGTTTCCCTGAATGCCCGACCTTATTATGTTTTAACAATCCTGAACGAATGAAAACTCCAAACCTTAAATGGTCTCTGTAAAAAAGAGGCTTTTGTTAAACCGTGTCATCCCCGAAACCCATTAAAAAGCATCCATAGAAACTAGAAACTGCCATGACTTCAGGGTTTCTACTTCCAATCTGTTGTTGACTCCTCTCACAGTCTTTCACTCGATCTCGCCGCTCTCTCCTGTCTCCATGTCCCATTGTCGGCTACGAGTATATATAGTCATTGGTTGCTTTTTTTAAACTTGGGAAGCCCTCCAAAACCCTTGGTGGCCCGTTGCCACGGAATCCAGCCCAAAACGGACCTCATTCCAGTACACTAACTATATATATATATATATTGCATGTGCAGTAATAGAAACATCGATTCTACTGCTTTTTGAGGCCTAAGCACTTGAACCTCCTCTTCCCCTCTCATTCGGGGTCTTCCTGGACCGCAAAAGCCGCCCTTCACCGGAGAGGAACAGCCCCCTTCATGGCGGACGTCATCGTCTGCGACCCCATGGCCGTCCATCCGTCCTGCGCCATGATCTTCTCTGTCTTCGTCACCGGCATCGGCTCCTCAGGCTCCATCACCGGCTGCGGCTTCTCGTAGAGCGCCTGATGCTGTTGGGCGAGCGGTTCCAAGGATTTGTACCAGGATGGTGTTCAGGTCCCGAAATTGAATGACTGCACCAGCTATCTGCGAAACTGCACCAGCTACTGTATCGTATGTGAATTTTTCCGAGGTGTTCAGTCGATGTGTGTTCATCGTAAGGGGGGCATCTGGGTGGAGCTCATGGAAGTGGACCATGGGAATTGAACAACGATGTCAGTCTGCAGCTACTCGAAATCCAAGCAACCTACACACACTGAAGGGGTTTAAACTCCACTAGCACCGAGAGATCAAGGAGCGAAAGGAATTGTCCCTTTATCTATATTATATATACAATACCAAGAAAATGCTCTAGGCAGTGGCCCAAACCTGGCCGGGTCTTCAGGTATCAAACCAAGGCAGGGAGCTCAGCATCCCAGGCTTTATTACATTGGAGACGCTAGGTTTTCTTTGTTGAACCCCGTTCCCAACTATACTTCTGCTCTGTCTCATCTTCATTCACAATCTTGTGGCTTCGAAGTTCAAAAGGACACCAGATCAGTCCAGGGAGCTGGACCCACATAAATCCATAAAACATCCTGCCACCGCACATCTCTCAACTTGTGCCACCAGGTGTTTAGACATGAACTCCCCGTGCTTCAACACCGGTCGCAGTCAGTCCCCCGACCCGGGCGCAGCATCGCGCGCCCGCGAAGCCACTCCGGTCACGTCGCCCGCGCCATGATGTGAACACCGAACTCGGGCCGTTTCTGGTCTCCCCACGCTCCGCGCGCCGGTGACCATGCTCGCGCTCCGCTTCTGCTCTCGCTCTTCGAGAGGATCGGCGAGCGCTGCGAGCGCTCATGGAAGCCCAGGGAGTCTTCGGCTCAGCTTGGTCTTCAGGTCCGGTTGCTCAGCTTGAGAAGCATGCGAGCGAACCCGCGCGTGCGCTACCACACTTCCTTGGAGGCAAGACCCATCAAAATGACTCCAAATGGACATGCTGATGCAACCCTTGGAGAAGAAACCACTTAAGCAGCTTGGATTCTGTGCTAGCGGCAAAAAGGAAAAAACCTCAAATGGTTGTTTCACACAGGCACAACAGGCAATTGGCATTTGTGCGAGCGTTTGGAAGATTAGACTTAGGTGGCCTTGGTTCCAAACATATCTCCAGTCCCTTAGGTCTTGCCTATAAAATCTCTTGAAACCGTCACACCAAGATCTTCTTGATCCGTCCCAAGTGGCGACCCAAGCCGCAGCTGCCGTCAGCGGCACAAAGGCAAGAAAGACCGTGCTGAGGCTAGAGGAGGTGGTTGAAGAAGTCACTGAGGACGGATTCGAGGTTGTTGAACCGCAGGACACGCTCGTGCGGGATGGGCCGGAGACGGAGGGTGGAGGATCCTGTCTGTTTCCACTTTGGACGATCGATTTATATGGAAGAAGCCAACAAAGATTGAAGGAGGAATTCCGAGCCACCAGCTGCAAGCCCCCCCGCAAAGCTGTTTTGTTTCTGTGGTTATGAAATGGGATGCCCAGCGCGTCGGGCCTTTTCAAACCTTGAGCCAAAAGTTCGATGAAAACACTCGTAGCGCTTGGCTTTCTACGAGGTATGGTTGTACACTTTTCGATTTGTGTACTTCCAGAATCACACTCCCCCTGGCTTGGTTCAAGCCATTGAGAGCTACTCAAAACTCCCTTCTGACCCGCTTGAGTCTTCACGAACCCTTGAGGTTCCAGAAAAACCGCGTCGCGGCTCCCAAGGGTCATTTGACCTGGGTCTCACTGGCATCTGCGTAGACACCCCCATCCAAGTTGGTGTCTCCTGATTTGGGTCCTCGGCTGGTGGTAGCACAGGATCCGGTCCTCTGTAGATTTCTCGATTTGGGGGTGCCAAGTTGCTTCACACCACCCTCCACCCTTGAGCGATCATCTCGTCCAAGGTTGGCGGTTCCTCATCCTCACTGGCCATCGTTCTCCTCCAGTCAGGTCTTTCTGCACTACTTGACTCACTCTCCACCAGCCGGTTCTCCACAGGCGACCCCACATCAACGGTCAAGTCCCGCATGAATGCCAGCCAATCATCCCGCACATCGTCCTCCAACGTAGTTCCATCACATCCTCCAGGTCCTTGTGCCCAGTAGGCTGGGTCGTAGTCCCATCCTCTGTCAATTTCCTCGCTCACCAATGAGAGCTCTTGAGAATCTCCCGAGGTTCCCGAGCCTTCGACTTCGCCTCGTTGATGTCCCCGAAGCCGCTGCCCATAGCCCCCAAGGCCACTGCTCACTCCCTCAGTCATCCTCGTACTGAGCTCCGACATAGATTCCATGGGATCTGGTTCCGGTTCCTGACGATCCGGTCGAACCTCTCTAGGCCAGTGAACTGCTCATCGAGGAAGACGTCCGATCGCCCTGCGCTCTGGTAGTCGAGGAACTAGATGTCGAAGTCAAAGTCCCCGCTGTTGGGTCTGGGTGGAGATCCCGGAAAAAAGTGTATCCCACCCAAGCATCCCTCGCAGGTGGCTGCGTGTCTCTCCTCCAATCATCATCTCTGATCACCCTTTCTCCATGACACCACAACACGGTGATTCTCCGATCTTGAATGTGGCTGCAATCCATGGTTGTTCGTCGATGGATTGGATGGAAAGGTCTCATCCTCTGCTTCACATGGTGTCTGACCCACCATCCCCCTGAGATTCGGTCCCACCGATCTTGACCCCTTGAAGGCATGGAAAACCTCCTCCACGTCCAGGGTCGATCATAATCCACAGCTGGAGCCGTTCCCGTGGCCGTAGATGGTGTCCCTGCAGACTCGGCCAAAAGTCCCTCTCTCAGAGCAGCCAGTCGTGCCCTCTTAGAGTTAGTGCCATGGCTCACATCTACCGCGTAATCCCGGGAGCCCTCAGGGCTAGGTTCAAAGACAGGTTCCTCTTCCGACCCATCATCTCTACTGCAGGTGGGTTCATCTTCCCTCACCTGATCTTGAAGTCCATACGGTGGATCTACATATTTACTTCTTGTTGGCCCAGTGGCTCTCTTCTTAGAATCACAGCCGGCTTTCCAGCTGGTGGCCAAACTAGCTACCATCGCGGCTACGGCTAGGCTCTGAGCAGCCTTGCCCGTGGGACCTGACGGCCGCCAAGTCAGTACGCCCGCTAGTCCACCTACCAGAGCTGCGATCCTGGCCACTTTGGACCCTAAACTCTCAGATGAAGCTTCCACAACTGGTTTCATCCCCATCGCCGCGAAGAAGTGCTGCCATCTCGCTGCAACTCCAATCGGCTTCGTCAGGAAGTCGGCCACCAAATGTTGACCTGGGATATGGATCACCTTCCAAGCGCCCCATTTGATTCGCTCTCGTAAAGCATGAGCTCGAAGGCGAAGGTGGCGTGTCCTCCAGGGTCCATCTGGCGCTTCAAGAATTCGGAGACCAGCTTGGTTGTCTCCCCCCAACCGGCATTCTGTTCCTGTTCCATCTCCGGTCCCTTCCAAGACGTTGGTCAATGCCGCCAAGGAATCCCCCATAGTCATAGCCTCCGTGTAGCCCAGCAGTTCTGCTTCCGCACTGGACAAGGTGCAGAATGCTTGCTGCCTGGATTCCCACTGGACTGGCTCTCCCCCATAGGTCCCAATCACGCCCTGACATCCTCTTCCAGAAGGAGGTCCAAACGATGCGTCTGAAAGGACGTCCACCCTCATCGTGGGTTGGTAATGTTCCCCAGGGATTGAAGACCGTGCTCGTCCGTAGTGAAGCGACCATGACAAGGTGGTTTTCAAATATCCCAACATCTGACATCCATACTCCAAGACCCTCTTTGGTGTTCGGGTCACTTGTCTTCCCATCCAGGCCACTCCATACGCCAGGTCCGGTCGGCTTCTCACTGACACTGACAGTAGCTCGCCCACCACACCCTGCGCCCTTCTCACATCCTCCAGTGTGACCTCCGCTTCCGGCTCCTCATTTGGTACACCTGGGAAAGGTACTGCAGTCGGGATCACCGAGGGATGTCTGCTGAGGAGCTCCTGGATGTAGGCCTGCTGCCCCACATAGAGCCCGCTGTCCTCCTCAGCCGAGCTCCATCTCAGCTCAAATCCACTGAACTTCGTCCATCTCTCACTGTTGACCCACTCCGCAGGGCTACATTTCCACTCCATCTCAATCCTGCCCAAGGCTCCCTTCACAATGTCCTTGGCACCAACCACAATGAAGTCATCCACATAGACCCCAATGAAGCCCTTCGGAGGTGGTTCCTCCTGATCCAGCGGTCTTCTCTCTACGATCTTCCAAAGGTTGGGTTCCGGCGTCTCCCGAAGCTCCAATGTCATTCCTTCATATTGCCATTGAAAGGACCTCATCAGCCGATTTCGATATGTTGCCCAGTCAGCTGGCGAGGATCGAAGGCCATAGAGGGCGTGTTGCACCCGCCATAGTTCTTGAGGACCCACAATACCAGCCTCCACCAAAATGCGCGGCGGCTTCACCACCACCAATCGTCGACTGGAGTCCTCCCTGGGTGCCAGAAGGAAAGCCGTCTTGACATCGCAAGTTGCAATTTCCCAGCTCATGGCGGCCGCTTTCCGAAGAAGGCATCGGATTGTTGTTCCGTCAGCTCCGCCAGCATAGAGATTCTGGGATTCCTCCTTGCCTGAAGTCGCTGCACCACTGCCATCCAGAGCTTCAAGCCGGTTTCCACAGACCACAATGCGAGCTCGTTTCTTCCCATGTGGTGCCTTGATAGTCGGAACCAACATCCCAGGCGCCACCTCCATCGCCTCATACAATGGATCCTGCTCCAACTCTTCCATGGTCGTCGGACTCAATGCCCTAGTTCCTTCAATCAAGGACTGGTACTCATCAGTCATCGGGGGCACCCACGCCGCAAGCTCCTGTCGGACTCGTTGAAGAGGAACTGCATAGGTTTGCAACACCGCCGGTGGTGGAGCTCCAGGCTCCTGTAACTCCAAACCTGCTTCATTCTTCACCGCAGCCAACCTCACCGACTCCAGCTTACGATGTTGGTCCTCCAAGT